TTAAATGATGCTCACTGACTTGGGTGGGAAGGTCTCGGAATAAAAACGTGGGAAGAAAGGAAGAGAAAGGGGAGGAGAGGAGTTGGGGAGTTTTGCGCGGTTGGTTTTGGGTGCGTGAGTATTTTAATTACTGCCAACGGGCTTTCGTCTTGCATTATTAACAGTTGAAGAGATTCGAGGGGCACCTTGAATCATTCGTGGCTCTTTCATAAAATTCGGGTCCAATTTTGCCGGCACTGGAACTGGAGTAAGTAATGCTACTCAAAACCTGAGGAAAGGGTATAAACTGATGACATGGCGAAAATATACTAACCTCGAGTGACGACAGACTTCCAATCCAGGGAGGTTGGTATCTCCTTCCGTGTGGTTGGTGAAAAGGAGGAGGCACTTGCTGATCGCCAGAGATGATTGGAAGTATCGCTCAAAAAATCAGTAGTCATTCGTCCGGAAAAGAAAGTTGAGCGACCGCGGTTGCGCTTAGATAGCACAATTTCGTCGAACAGGATAATTCGTGGGTCCTTTGACTTTTGCTTCGCGCGTTCCCGTTCGCTGATAAATTCGTTGAAGCCTGCAGCCAAATTAGTAATAACGCCCAAACTCTCTTAGCTTTGACTTAATACATACCTTGAGTTTGCTGCAGGACTGTCATGTATGCTGCATGTTCGTGTGGTAAACTCTTGAGGAAAGCTTCCATTTGGAAATCGTAAGTAAGGCCGTTCTTCTTCTTGTCTCCAGTGGCAGGCCTGAGGAATTTCTTGTAGGTATACAGTAAACTCGCAAAGCATCGTACGAAGGCAGCGCGGATCTGATCTGGATGGAATGCAACAGGGCACACCAGACAAATCTGCCCAGCACAGCGGTGGTGTACAATGGTTGTGCAACCGGTGCACCTATAGGTTGCCTCGTCTGCTCTTTCATCACAAATGTCACATGTCGATCTTTCATCCACAGGCCGTAATAATTGCAAACAATGACCTTCTATCATAGTGGATCCAGCTGGGCTCCGTATAGGTTGGAAATGTTGAGGCATTATTGTTGAGGCAGCGATTGTGGATTGTGCATATATCGACGGTGCGTATACGGAAGTTCCCGCATCCGTATTTAATGTAGTTACCGAGAGATTTGAGGAATGACCGAGGAAAGGAACGCTGGGTCTCCTGGGTATCTGCCGTCGATCGATGGCTAGTGACGAGCTCCTGCGGGAAGCCTGGTCAAAGTGGCCCGATCGCTTTTCACGAAGGGATGCCTGCAATGCAAACCCGGAATCGTTCCGAGAGATTGGAGTAGATGGGTGCGGGAATTTAATAGAGGTTGGCGAGGCGGTTCTGGGTGAGGACGGGTTACTGTTCTTTGAGGTAGAGCTGGTAGAGGGTCGTTCATTGCCTCTTGAGAGGGAAGCGTCGCCTTTGGAGCACAGGAAGGTATTGTAGATAGGAGCAGGGTTAACGGATGATTGCTGTCCAAAAGATGCAGAGTTTAAAGCAACGAATTTGGGTAAGTTTGTAGATGGCGCCTTTGGAGAGTATATTGATGGGATCTCTGCGGGGACACAATCGTACGGGAAGGTCTCCATGGCATATGCAGGTGGCCCAGCGCTAACACCGTAGCGATGGTGAAGAGGAGCAGCAGCTTGCAGCAAGGATTGGAGTTTTCGGCGTTGATGGCGAGGGAGAGGGGTGGGACGAGATGTGCTTTCGATGAGATCCTGGTCGAGATCAACGAGAACAAAGTCGTCTGCAGGAAATTCGATATTTTCATATCGTCTTTCGATGCCGACGATATAAGGGCAGGGTGCTTCGATAGCTTGGATAAGCCGAGCCGGAAGAATGGGTATAAAAACGCCAGTCCACTGGAAAGGGAATAGGAGTTCTATCAGTGCTTTACTTGCGAGATTTAACATAGAGATGTAGGATGATAGGAATATTATTCTCGATTCGGCGAGAGCATACTAGGGGATTGTTAGCCACTTGCAACAGTTTTAAAACGTAAGGAAGATGGAAAAAAAAAAAAAAAGGGAACATACCTCGAATAATATGATAATATTTGAAACTGAGAGAGCGCGGAATAGGGGGTATAGATCAGTCTATTTAACGGGGGTCAGTTAGCATGCAATTTTCGTAAAATAGCCAAAAGTGGATTGATCTTTGACTGACATTTCGAGATCCGGGGAGTTCGTTAAGAGCTTCCTTTCTAGCAAAGAGCCGCAATTCGCGGATTGAGAGTTCCACCTGTGTTTTGGAAGATATGGGGCTGAAGGCCTCCATGCACAGGTTTACCACGTATCTCTCAAGGGGCTGCCATCTGCCTACCCTGGGAGAAGTCGGGGGAACCCTCAAGATAGCGCCGTCCATCATGGGCACTGTGACGGCTTTGAGCCACTCTTTCCAAAACGTCACCATGGAGGCATCCTTTCCAAGAATTCCGTAAGCCCGAGGTATCCAAAACCCGGTATCTCCGTCGGTTAACCCGTCGATCTTGGAGGCGGCACCGTGGCGAACGGGGCGCAAAAGGTCAGCCATCAATCCAATCTTCTCCTCAACGGCGCTTATTTCATCCTCAAGGTTCTCTCGGGAAGCAGACCCAGAGGGGACAGTAGGGAGCTGAGCGAGCAGCCGAGAAAGCTTAGCACGTTCAAGGCCGAGCCGTTCGCCTAGACTGGCGGCGAGCTCTCTCTCCTCGTTAGTCATGTTATCTCTTCTCCATTCCTCGCATCTCTTCTCCAGCTCGTCTGCGGCATTATGGTTCAAGGGAATCCACACGGTCACACAGACCCCGTGGAGCTTAGACCCATCACCACCAGTCATTGCAAAGCCATGCCAGGTTGACCTCGGCCGCTGGTCAGAAGAGACGATGTTTATGTCGTTGGGGAAGGCGAACATGGGGATGTAGTCTGGGAACTTCCCTCTCCGTTGGTTTTCGTTGGGGGCACCCTTGGGCGGGTATCTATCGAGAAGGACTGGTTCGAATTTCCGTTTCAGCGGGTGCATGTTTGCAGGCATCTCGAGCGGCTGGGGTACTGGAATGACTGAATTGTAGTTGCTTAGGCGTCTGGATGTTCGAACCGAAGCTAGAAGTAACCATGTTAGCTGTACGTAGTAGAAAAAATAGGACCTGGTGAGCAAAAAGAAAAGGGGGTGATGGGGAGAGGGAGACGAACATTGCCGTGCAATGGAGGGCTGTCTTTTCATGCTGCTCATGTCTCTAAAGGACATGTGCCTTCGGACGGTCCCAATGCTGGACTTTAACGAATTGACATCTTCGGCGACGATCTTCTGTGTCCTCGGTCGAGGCTTGGGTCTGTTTGGCACCACGGCCCCGGCACTGAGAGTCAGGTCCGTCAAGAAGGAGTCTCGCTCGGAGGCGAACTTGCGAAGGGCGTCGTCAAAGTCGGCCTCGCTGAGAAACGAGCTTCCTGTGCTGGCTCCGTTCGTACTGGAAGCAGCTTTGATGGTCAGACTGCTCCTGTTGCTATGGGGCTCTGCAGCGCTCGAGGAGGCCGGCTCAAAGGTCGAGGAGCGGAAGGAGAGCCGCGCCTCGTCGCCGGTCTTGGGGAACTGGACGGAGTTTCTGTTCGAGACGGCCGGCGAGGTGCCTGTCGACAGGCTCTCCTCCTCGACCTCTGCGTCTGCGTCCTCCTCGATGGTATCTGTGACCGGCGGCGCAGGCGACCGGGACGCCTTGTATTCCTCCCCGAGCTTCGAGTATATGTCCAGGATCTCTGAGCCGTCCACGCCGGCTATCCAGAAGAACTCGGCCAGTGGAGCAGACGAGGGCGTATCGACTGTGAGCGCGGGAGCCATCGCGGGAGGATTTCAAGGGCTCCTGGGGGCGTATGTATGTATGTATGACTGTATGTGCGTATGTATGTGCGTGTGTGTGTGTGTGCGAGTTGGGTGTTGTAGACGGCGGCCCTGAGAGGCAAGATCCGGGAGTCGCTGTCAGGCCAACGCTCCCTGGCGCATGAGGAGCGATCGGGCGGCAGGCTCCTGGTATCCCTCTGGTCGACCGACGAGAGGCAGCTGTCGCCCTGCAGAGCGAGTGTCTGGCCAGAGAGCAGGCCCAGGGCTGGCTGGCGAGCGGGCTCTTGGAGCTGCGAAGGCGACGAGGCAGAGCTTTTTTCNNGCCTGCGAGCAGGACGAACCGAACCGAGCAGGGCGATCGAGGGCGATCGAGGCAGAGGCAGAGAGACAGAGAACAGAGAACAGAGACAGAGACAGCCAGCCGCAGTAGAAGCAGACGACCGCAGACGATCCGATGAAGCTGTTTACGACTGTCCCGTTCGACCGGCGAGGACGCTCTGGCAGCGAGGAGGGAGAAGGGGGGACGAGGACGGGAGGCGGAGGGCCAGCTAGCTGGGGTTAAGCCGTCTGCGTAAGTAAACAGTCTACTTGAAACCCGCCAGCATGCATCAGCTAGCCGTTTGACAGGCGACGAAGAGTAAGATGAAGAAGAAGAAGAGGACGAAGGAGAAGGAGAAGAAGAAGAAGAAGATGATGATGATGAAGACGAAGATGAGGAAGATGAGGACGATCTCGGGCAAATCGACGACCCCCCAGAGCAACGCGCGGGATCGATAGGACGGCGGATATTATGGACAGGGAGATCTTCCCTACAGGCGTGCCAAAACTAATAGTGCCTGCTATATATATACCTATATACTTGCACGCAGATATACATCGAGATGTCGAGATGTCGGGATATCGCCCTGCCTCAGCGTGTCTACGGGGCTGGCTCGAGCAGCAGCAGCAGGAGTGAAAGACCGACAGACAGTCACAGGCCACCCTGTTTTTGGGCGGATGAAATCTCCATCGACGGCCGAGGATGTGGAGAGCACCGCGATGATGCGCATAAGCTACATACTGGGGTTGCTATGAGACCCTCTGCCTGGCTGCTGGGTGGTTGGTGATTGTATATCGCTGGGACGGGACCAAACCTCGATGTCCACCCACAAGGCGGGCGGCGTCATAACTACGGAATACTACTCCTCCTACTATTATTATTGCTACGGAGTCGTTAACTGGCTGCTCGGGCGACCTATGACATGGCCTGTCTGTTTGCAAAGCCGCATGTTCCTGTTTGTTTAATCCATCGGCATCGCATCGACAGACTCCAAAACGGCGGAAGATTTCCCCCTGGGGGCCCCTTAATATTCAACTACTGGGATTGCGAGGCCTGGGACTGCCAGTCATCGCCTTTCGAGACAGCCGGCCGTCTTCTGCTTCGAGAGACACGCACACAGAGACACAGAGAGAAAGCTGAGAGGGACGAAAGTGACGATGAAGAACTCAACCTGCACCCACCCCTCAAGTGGAGAGCGTTCAGGGGATATACGGCCGATCTACAGGGATCGAGGATTACAACCGGTCAGCAGCAAAGAATACGACGCCTTTCCCCAGGCCGGCAGGGCACTGATTGGCTTCACGGTTCCACGAACTGCTCCAGCAGGCAGGCCCAAAGTTCATGTCCACCGCAAAGGGGGAGCGGGAGATAACTTTTCTTGGGTCGAAGAAGATCAAGAGCCACCCATTTCTCCAGAGAGGGCTCAGTGGCGTTTTCCGGACGGAGTACGTGTACCGTTTACTCTCTCCCCTTTTCATCAAATCATCAGCAAGGACAATTTTTTTGGGATTTACCTCAAAATATGCTCCGTATTCCGTCCATGGATGCCGGCGCTTGCTTTTTCGCTCAAGGCGATCTCCTCCCACTCGGAAATTCCCCTTCCACATCCACATGGTCTGTTCTTCGGTCTGCATCCGGATTCCACCCCTTTTTTTCGGGCTTTCTTTCATACTTCTCCCTTTTTATTTTAATTTTTATTGGCGAGCCACAGAGAATAATGATAATCTTGCGGGATCAACGGTTCCAGTGTTACTCGAGTCCGGTTTGGTTGCGAATAGGGCTTTTTCCTTGCTGCGTTGGACAGAGGAGAGACAGTGTACCAGGGAGCCTGCGTGCTGAACCAGACCACACGCGATCGCCTGGAACATCCGCTGCATGCCAAACGGTTATTCGTTTGCTTGATTCTCGACTCCTTTCGGCCCTTTCAAACTCTCGCCACCCGCAGAAGCTAAGTTTGGGTGTGGCCAAAATTTGAGCAACCTGAAGGCCCAACAGCTAACAGATTTTAGCTATCCAGAGATCCAGCTGTCCATGCCGGCGGCCATAAAAAGGCCGAATAAGTGCCGTGATTTCGGCGCATGAATAATATCTACAGTAAGAGAGAGCATCCCAACTGCTTCTCCTGTCCCTGGCTGCGTCACCATATGCATGTTGTGTTCCTGCATATCGCTTCAAGCAGGGCATGAGGACACATGTAAGTATGTAAATGCGTTGGACGGGCGTTGAATGTCTTACTTTTTCTTCGCCGCCAGCTTCAAACTAGCTACAGGGCTGCTCCTTGCTGCCTGAAGCGTGCCTCGCCTTCCGAGCTCGATCCCCGACATTCTCCCGACCTATCTATCCTTTCCTGGTAAAATATAGATAAACATCGAAACAAATTGCTGAGCCCTTGTGACACCCCGTCCTCTCCATTAGTTAAACTCGTCGAGCTTAGCTTGAATATGTGCCAGGGAAAGGGCTAGATGCAAGCTATATTTACATAAAACAGGAGAGAAGCTCTCTAGTTTGAAACTTCGGCCATGGCTCGCCAAGGGCTGGGAACAAGGGGGGGATCGCTTTCTCGCCTGAGATTGATTAACCGCCTGCCCTAAAGACGCTTGAGATTCCGTCTTCCAGAATATCGGGAGCGGGATTGCTCGTTGAATGGCAATGTTCCTTGCTGAACTAATTCCTTACTTGTACGTGATTGTTTGCCGGGGCCTCAGCTAAATCTGCTCGGGTGCGGGTGGCTTGCTAAAAGATGATCGACCAGAGAATCCATGTCTCGCATCTCGATATCTTCCCCAAGAAAGCTAAGATCGAGCTAAAGTAGCTAAGCAGTTAATTGCTCCATCACACGTATCGGCATAAGCAGTGTTAGATACGGATCCTCTCCGCAAAAGGTCCCCTCCATTTCCAGAGCGGCACCGTCAATGTCCATTACGGGGTAAGTTAGAGGCAAGTTTCAACTCGCTGAAATTAACTAGTTATCTATCTCATCAAATTCGTTATCGGGTGATTCGTAAGATAGGGGAAAAGACACTGGCACCACTAAGTATGCGACTCAGCCACCTACCCTCGAGCCTGGGATGATACCACAGTTAACACCCCCTTTGCCTCGCGGACTTGGTTGGCTTCCCCCTCGTTGAGATGTGCTGGAATGCCACGTAGGAACCGACATCCCTTCTCTTCCATCGATAAGCGCTCAGGTACGAACCAACCCTGATGCACGGTTGCTGGGTTCATCCGCGCCCCCCCAAAAAAGTTCGAAGAGGGCAGTCAGCCCGATGCAAGCATCTACCCATGTAACGGCATTCCTTTGCATGCCAACACATATCGACCAGGGCCCGGTTATTATTGCCAGGGAACAGGAGGGGAAATGTGTATAAGCATTTATCTATGCTCTCCGTTTTGTCATCAAATTTCCTGTCGTCAGGTACCCCTTCTCTCCCATCGCGCTCCGCCACTGTATAGACAGCTGACCGAGCGCTGTGCGACCATCTCGACTGATGTCTCTCTGCGTCGCTTCAAGACCTTCCTGCTGCCCTTCTTCCTGCTCAACCAGAAATGCAACCTGGACCACATCTCTTGGTGCTAGCGTTGGAGCTATTTTCTTTTGATCTCCATCCTTCTCATAGAAATCCCAATTTAACGACGTCGATTTGAATGGAGGCTTAGAATTAAGCGTTGGGACCTATCTATTGGTTAACTCTCGTCTTCTTCATATCTTAAAAAAATTATAGTAAAAGAATTGCAGGAAGCATGCACGTTTGTGTGACTGAAGCTCTTACCCCTAGAACAATCATTCCGTCTCCAACATTCTCAAGCTGTGCTTCCAACGCAAAACGAAGTAATCGTGTCTTTCCAAATGGTCCGGCTGAACGGTCCTCTATTTCACGCGGAGCTAGCTCAGTAGCCTTGGTCCTTACACTTAGACACGGCTGGGCAACAAACTGATAAAGCTTCCTGGATGTTCGCGCCCTGCCCCCCGAAGCCTGAAACCCGCTTGGTGCGTCTTTGTTGGGAGCCATCATCGTTTCAGTGTAATTCACGCTCACTGCCAACAAATGGTTGCCCTCCTCCTTAAGGTCAAAGTGAATTATCTTCTGTACAGAGGCAGCAGTGGATGTACCAGTCGGCTTCGTAGGCTCTTCATCTGCTGGGAGGAGCTCCAGTGGGATCGTCTGAGAGGGCGTTTGCATATCCGCCTGTATTCTGACGGAGGTCACGACCCGCGAGTTCCCGCCAAGCGCTTCATTGTTGGCAGATAGCGAGCACGCAAACGTCTCACCAACATATGCAGATCCAAACGATGGTGGTAAGGTGAGCTATTTTATGACAAGCATCTTGGATCAGTTTCATGAAAATTATAGGGAGGGGTCTCCAAAACCCACATTTGGGCTGAATATGAATTGCGAATCTGAGGTAGTTGAAGGATAGCTGAGAGATGCGATTTTGGAGAATTGTGCGTCGGACACTGGAATAGGATGTTGTAGCGAGAGAGAAGGCCGCGAAAGCCTGTGGTCCAAGGCGTCAGTTGCTGATTCTGGTCAACCTGTGGCTTCGCGCTCACCGTAAGACTAGAACAGCTGTCAATCTAGATAGTCGTACCAAGAGAGGAGAAGAGGCAGCTTAGTTACCTTTCAAAGAGATGGAGTGAGGCTCCTTATGCGCATCAGCGCCGGAGACGGCTCGTGGCCGCGACATGGGTGGTGGCTATACAGCTCGGTCATCAACCTCGAGCTTTCAAGATGTTCTCTGATGTCTCTTTTGGCTTTCAAGATGGGCCGCCGATAAGATAAGATCCTATTCCGGATTCAGTCTAGCGCGCGGAAGCTCCAATTAAGCTCGAATAACACAAGAAAAGAGAAGATCAAAGAGAACATCGAAGCATTTTCCGATGCTAATTTAGAGTAGAGGTCGTGATGTCTGCTGAGAGACTCCAATTAAAGCTATGGGTACTAACGAAGGAGCTCAAGATCATATAGATAACCAGGGACTTTTATCTTGTTGTAACTATGATCAACTTTCAGGTCGGCGCGTCCTTGGCTAGAGCTGCTTTTCATAGTGTCGCCAGACTTCTGCCGACTGTTCTTGGTTATGCTTTATGGGCCTGACTTGAGTACATTAGACAGATAGATAGGAAGCAGACCTGAGGACGCGGTGTTGGTATTGTTGACTTCCCTCTCTTACTAACAATTGATCGCTGTCTCAAGAACTGGAGCCAGGTTGATCTCAGTCCAGTCAGGTGCTGCCTAGACCGGATCAATTATGATCCAACGTGCTAGTTAGTTAGGTATGACTGCCTGGCTCCATTCCTAATGTACCTAAAATTGATACCGTGACAAGGGGCATACTATCCACCTGCAAGTATCAAATATTGTTGAGGAAGGATTTCTTCTATAAGCGGTCTACCAACATCTTATAGTTAGCTGTACCCGGCTCTCTTTATAACTGAAGGAGAAGAGGGAACATCAGTTTCAGCAATTTGTTCTTTTCTTAGCACCTACGACGACCTGTTACTGTTAGATACCACTATGCTCTAGCCAGCACCATGAAAAGGAAGAGACAAGCGGACGCTGCTAGTGACCAGCCCGGTCCTGCTCGGCGGGCTCGAAAAACCCGGGCTGTGCCAAGGGGTGCAGATGTCATTGAAGGCACTGGCGAAGCAGCATCTCAAGCAATATCAAAGTCACCAAATAAACCGAAAAAAGCGCCTCGTCAAAAGGACGAAGAGCGTAGGCTCCGTGCGTTTAGGTCCAAACCACCGCAGACCTACTTCGTCAAGTTAGACCGAGCAAGGACCCAAAGGTTAATAGCCACAAGATTATTACCCAGACCAAGCCCCCTACTGTATAACTAGCAGCATCCTAACATGTTATAGATTATTTGTTCTTAGGAGGACAAGAGGAGGAACCGAAGAAGCCCCAGAGGAATATATTGACATTGCCGGCTCAACCGGCAATATATACCAAGTGGTCATCGGGAAAGAGCCGTCCTGCACCTGTCCTGATGCAAAGAAAGGCAACCAATGCAAACACGTCGTATATGTAGGGTCATGCTCAAAGAGAATCCTTACATCTTCAAATCCCTCTCCTAAGGAAATATCCTAAATGTCGTCTCAGGTCCTATATCATGTCCTCCGAGCCCATGAACATCTCCGCTACCAGCTCGCGTTTCTATCATCGGTATGAAAATTCGTTTACATAGAGCATGTAACCAAAACAAATACTTATCGAATTCATCTACTAGGAGTTACGCGAGATTTTCGAGAATGCGCCGCAAAATCCTGCGGAGGCCGCTTCTACAGGCAACACTAAGGGGATCCGCAAAGAAATTGACGGGGACTGTCCGATTTGCTTCATGCCGCTTGAAGCTGAAAATGAATCGATAGTGTGGTGTAAAGCAGCCTGTGGTAACAATATTCATCAGACTTGTTTTCAGCAGTGGGTTTCCAGCCAGAGGGGAAAAGAGATCCGATGTGTTTACTGGTATGATGCTGCCCATATATCTCTACTACGTGGTATTCCGTATCTATCGTTATTCTAATCGCCTTATTTCAGTCGAACTCCTTGGGAAGCAAACGATGTTCCTGCTTTGGAAAACTTGCTAGAAACAGGTCAGCTTAATAGTGAAGGGTACCTGAATGTTGGTGCGAGCCTGGGGTTGAGCTGCCTACGGGGTATGAACACATCTTTGTATACCATTTCCTTCCCTGGCACTGCGCTTGTGTTTGAAGCTGCATATATTCCTCGTAAATTACTAACCTTAACTGCAGATTGTTCTACATATCATCAGCCCTTGGGTTACCGACGGCGGTATCGCTAGCTCTGGCATAGTGTGCTTCTCTCTCTCGTGTACTTGTGCCCGACCAGGTGTAAGCTATCAATAATTCGTGCCTCTAGAAGCGCATTGGATTGACATACCCTACTACTCGCTCCTTCAGGTTTAATATATATAATTAAAGTCCGATTTTTCATTCGTACTGTAATGTGCTGAGGACACAAATATATACAACTAAGTAAAGAAGTAACAGCACTTGGTAACGTCCCTATCCCGTCCTAGCGAGTAAATTATGGTGTCACTGTTACACCTCCCTTAATTACAGCGCTACTAACGCCATCTTCACCTGTCATCCATGACGGCATACGGTTAGGGTCAATCACACCCAGTTCTGCCAGCTGTCGTAGGCCTGCTACGACATCCGAGCCCGAAAATGTGAGTGAGACCACTGTTTGATGAGGAGATGAGCCCGGCTCTAGCGTTGGAGAATCTTGAAGTTGTATCTCGAGGCGATCCAAAGCTGGATTTGGAGTTATTTGCGGTAGGGATTGGTCAGTGGCAGATGATAGGGTAGTTTTGTTTTGGTCGGGAAGTGGCTGAGGCGTTAGGTTGAAAGATGGCAAGGCACGATTCGGGTCCCCAGAGGTACCGAACCGGGACATTATAGCTTGTTTTCGTTTCTTTAGTGATTGGGAATCAGGTCTTGGCTCGTTAACTGGCCGCTTCTGCCTCTTCGTGGGAGAATGACCGAGGTTTTCCTTGTCATCAAATGATGACTTATTTGTATTATTATTTGTGGTTCGGGCGTTTCCATTCTTAAAAGGCACAGCGTTGCTTATCCTGGGCTCTAGGGGCCCAGTCTCAACAACTGCATCTGCAAAAACGGAAAAGGCACCGATAGCAGCAGGTGTTCTCCAGGGCCCCCGGAGTGTAAGCAAGGTATGTAGGCTCTTTGCTGCCAGAGATGTGGAGGTAAGTGAGTACCGCTGTTGGGGCCGTGAGAGAGCTTTTGGGACTGCGTCGTTGATTATGCGCCGTAATGTCCGGGCATCGGTAGAGTACATATTATTATTCCCATCCCTTTTTGAGTTTGAAGTTAAAACAAGTGAGGAGTATATAAAAGGTGTGCTGTCCGGGAAGGCAAGATAGATTAATCTTGAGCTATCGATAAAGGTATGAGGGGATTGGCGTGGGAATTGGTAGGGAGAGTCGATGGCTAGTATTCGAACGAGCGTTAAGGGGAGTGAATGGAATCGGTGGATGTGGTAATGTGCTTTAACGAGCGGTGATATTTCACGCTGCATAGCTTTGATAAAGCTGGAAGCCTGGAAGTGCGGAAGAGCCGTCGCATAATCTTCATTGTCCCTAGAGTCGCTAGGTAGTGATGATGCTGATGCGCTGCTTGCATCTACTCGGAACGCTGTCCACCGGTGGCTGGATGGATGTTCTTCGATATGTCGCACATCTGCCATCGCAAGCTGCCGAAGCGTTAAACCATGGCGCCAATCCCCTTCTAGAATCCGATCGATCACTTCTCTCTTTCCACCCTTTTGGCCTTGGAAATCATTATATATTATCTTCAGGTCTTCCACGCTTTGAGCTGGTGAATAGGGGCTCGTATCATCGTCATGCCCTTGTGACTTTGACTGATCGGAAAGTAGGTAGGGGCTGCAACTGGCCAAATTTTTCTTTTCTAGCCATTGAAGAGCCAGAGATATAAGAGATGCCCGTGATAGCTTGCTTAACGTCTTTACCAGCTGATTTGTGGAGGAGGGTATGCGAAAGGTATCTGGTAGACTTGCGGACGTAGGTGTGAGGATGGAGGATTGTCTAGCCATGATTTGGGTATCCTGGCTAGTGGTTAGGGGCGCATGTCCAGAATGCTGGGGTTTCGTTCGACCAAGTGAGCGGATATTGAGGAAGGCCGGAGGGTAGTTTGTGCTGTCTCACAGTTGCGATGGAAGCTGTCGAGCCTCCGGCTTTTGTTTACTTTTTCTTATCAGCAAAATCAAAACAATTTTATGTTGTCATTGATTATGTAACCCAAATTATTCAGAGAATATTTTTATCACGTGATAGTTTTATATGACTAAGCTTAAAATTGCCCGTTCTACTCATAACAATGCTTATTCAGCAGTTAAAGCTAGTATGTGACGGAAATTACAGATAACAATGCCTGCTATTGGAGAAAATTGTTACTAGTTGTATTACTCTGTAATCACGTGTCGAGTTCTTGATACATGACAGCAATAATGACTTCAAAAAGTCGCGCCCACAGAGAATAACTGAAGCGATGGCAGTAAAACATAGTGAGCATTTGTTCAATCAATGGATCTGTATTTCTATCTATTTAAGTGGCCAACTCCTGAATACCTCTGAGAGGCGCAATAATACCCCCCAAAACACTGAACTGGAATGTCGTCATGAGGCGGCTATGATGTCATCGGTTGACCTATGCGTTTTTCCTTTATCAGCGACGAGGCGCTGCGTAAGGTGCGGAGTGGGAAACGAGAAAAAACCCGACCCGGAAAAGGTGCACGCGATGAATATTCAGATGTAGTATCAAGTCTCATCGGCCAGAGGCCTCAACTCATACGTTGCTCATCATCATAAACAAGACGTGTTCTTGACGAGGTCCTTACCTGGTGAGTCCGCTTTCCCTCCCCTCTCCCGCAGGCCAGGGCGGCTAGGCCAGTTCTGACGGTGAGATTCTTCTAGACATCTGATCAGTGTCAGAACACAGGTTGGAGACCAGTGGGCTGAGGGAATACGGCCAGTGATGATATCAAAAAGCCAGAACAACGGCCGATGCCTCTGCTTTCGGGTACATGGCGTTTGCGTGTTGGTGGCTAGTTCTGAGGTCGCCTATCTCCAGTGCGAAGGGAAGAGAGGGGATAATGATGAAGATGGGAAGAAGAAGAAGAAGAAGAAGAAGAAGAAGAAGAGAACGAGGAGGAGGAAGATAGACGCTGGCAGCATCTTTATACCCTTCTACGTTGTCGTTTTCATGCCTCTACGGAAGGTGCAAGCAAAACACGGAGATTTCTACGGTAAGTGCTATTGATGGCAATCTAAAACGGCAGGTTTCACTGCTAGAGATGAGTAAATAGCCAGCGGAGAATGAGTAGGGAGAGGGAGAGGACTGGTAATGGAAGTTGATATCCGATCATTGGCCTTTTGAAGGCTCTTGGAAGGCAGCTTAGATGGCTCTCTGCCGGGATTTCTACTGGTGCATGCGCGGTCATAACCCACTGTCTCTGTAAAACAGATCCCTACATAGAATATAGCATAGCTATCCTACCCTATGTCTCTACTCTATGTCTGGCCTACGTCTTTCAACGTCTATCAAACACCCATCTACGCTCGCTCTACAGTCTCACAATGCCAAGCCGGCTGTTCGTCCGAACGGAGGAACCCGGACACAGCGGGAGAACGCGGAAAACACAGCCGAGGATGCTTATGTAAGTAAATCGCGCGTGGGCGACCAACAAAGCGGATTTGTCATCTTCGTCCCCGCCCGCCTCGGAAGCCGGAGACGGACGTCGCCAACAGGATCTGGCACCTGAGTTGCCGCAGCGGTTTTTGCGTTCCAAACTCTTCCTTTTTCCTGTCCTCCACAGCCAGCCAGCCAGCGACAACCCACACCAGACGACGAACCGTCAGCAGTCAGCAGCATAGAACAGCGTGCGTGTGCGTCCTCGATCTCAAGACGACAGACCCCCCGAATCGACCTGCTGGCACAGGCTGCGACCGCTGGACGCTGACCCGGACAGGCACCGGAAGCGCTTGACTCAACAACACCACCGATCGCGGCTGGGAGCCCCAGGGCAGAGCCTGCATCGAGAGAAATCCTAGCCAGGACAGCAGCGCCATGGCCGAATTCAACGGGCGTCGTGCGCCCAACTTCTCGCAGTATCTCAATGAGCTGAACACCTTGCCCTCGCCCTTCGAGCAGACAGCACAGCCAGAAGATCTGGGGTTCGATGTCGACGCCGAACTCGCTCTGTTCACGAACGCAGAGTTCCTCGACTTTGACCCGGCTGGGAATGTTGGCGGCATAGACGAACAGCAGCCTGTCTCTTCGGGAACCGTGAGCCCTGCAAACGGACGGCAGGATATGAACTACGTGGGGATTCTGAATGGTGAGCGTTTTATGTAATAGATATACCTATGATGGCCTCTGGCTCATGCTTACTCGACATGTTTCCGGTCAACGCAGATTTCAACCTTTCCAACTTCCCTTATTTCCAGCCCCAGCAGCCGACGGCCCCAGTACAGTCAACTACCTATCCATCAGCTCAGCCTCTCCCTGCCAACACCTCTCTCCCTCAGTCTACTCCAATCTATCAACCGCAGCAGCAGCAGCAGCAGCAGCAACCACAGCAACAGCACCAACATCTCCCGTCACAACCACAGCTACAAACACCACCACAGCCGGCAGTAACTCAATCACAGCCCGCCACTGTTTCATCCAAAAGGAAGTCTGATGCCACCACTACTTCAGAGGCAGACCGTCTAGCCCAGGAAGAAGACAAACGCCGGCGCAACACCGCTGCCAGCGCCCGTTTCCGCATCAAGAAAAAGGAACGTGAGAAGAACTTGGAAAAGACCGTAAAGGATGTGACGAGCAAGAACTCAGCCCTTGAATCCCGCGTCAGCCAGCTAGAGATGGAGAACCGATGGCTCAGGAACCTCATCGTCGAAAAGAACGGATCTGCCATCAGTGAGGGGGATCTATCTGGCATGTTCCATAAATACCAAGAGGCCACCGGACAGCATCAGAACCAAAAGCAAGCTTCGACGGCAAGTCCCAGCTCAGAACTCAAGTCTTCTCCTTGAATTTTGTTGTGACGGGACATTTCTATTTCGGAATACGACGGTTGCGCTCCTCTCTTTTCCTTACCACCCCCCCGCACTCCATCATCGGGCCACCGTTAACAAGTTCCATTTTTATTTCTATTTATCTTTCATTCTGTTTCTCCCACTTATCAATTCTCATCTGTAATTTTGATATTGCCATTTCTTTTTGTCTTTTTATATCCTGTTGGTGGGCTCCATCTCCCTGCCTCACCTATTGCTCGGTGGTTGAACCAAAAGCGACCTATGAACCATTAATTGCTGCATGCAGTTCAGCAGTACCCAGTCTACAAGGATGCCTTTCAAAGGGCATATCATAGGGAATACACTGTTCCCTTCCCTTCTTGGCTTGAATTTTGGTTGTTGGTGGCCGAAAACGGAGCAGGGCTACGTATGGATGGCCGGTGACGATAATGTTGATGACTTTCCTAAATGAAGATGATGTGTGTTTCTTTTCTTGTGTGACCGTGAAGTGGTCCAGGCCCTTCATTTTCTAGTGCTATATAGCCCAGCAAGAATAAGCAAAAGGCGACACAATTCCAGCTCGTGTTACTCTCAGTTTCTTTTCTTTCGTCTGTAAACCAAGCCATACAGGTCTATGAATTCTAAATATCTCAAATAAATGCTTTAAAATCTCGCTCATCGTATGTACCTATATTCAAATGCAGAAATAATGTCTGTCCCAAGTATATACCCGTCGCCTACCCACCTACATGAATCAGACACCGGCGTAAGCGTCACTACGAAAACCTCAATCCTCTGGTTGGATCCCAGTGTCCGGGCTTCGCTGTACCTGCCGTCGACCCTGTGACAGTCGCATTACTCGAACTGGACGCTGAGGGCTCCACGACAGTCCTTGACTCCGGATACGGAGCAACATGTGCATTTGGTGCGGGCGCCGGAGCAAACTTGATTCCTACTTCAGGGGACCAAATCCCGCCGCCGACCGACGGCATGGTTGCGGGTGGAGGCATGACGTTTGCCCTGGTCGGCTGGGGGGCTGTCAGTGGCTCTACAGGGTTCGTAAAGGACTGCTGATGCTGGTTCTGAGCAGGCATTTGTTGTGATGTTGGTGAATGGGCTGCAATGTTCAGGGCCGCCATGGCGGTGGTGTTGGCAATATCCCTACGTAATAGGTTAGGTAAAAAGGATTCAGTCCTAATATAATGTATCAGGGGGCCTAGAGACTTACGTTTCCATTTGGCTGGCTTCTAGTCTTCGCTGGTTTACGAATTTCTTGCAGTCCTCTCTAAATCGGCCCACGATCCTTGCTAGGTCATTGTAAAACTTCCTCCCTGTATCGATGTTTGATACGATCTCCTTATACTTCAAATAACCAATCTCTAGATCTTGTAGCGCCTTCTCTCTCTCTTTAGTCGAAGAGTCACCCCTACGTGCAGCCGTGAACGCCTTGTTGGCTTCTCGGAGCTGCTCGCCGAGTTCGTCATGTTTCCTCTGCTCCTCAGCAAGCATGTTTCTATCACTGTCATAGCGACGAAGATGTTTCTCGAACAAGCTTTCAAACTGGCTTGGCTGAATCTTCTGCATGGGGAATTCACGCTCTAGGCGTGCTGTTTCTTCAAGGAGTGCAGAATCTAGGGGTATTATTTGTTAGCAACACATCCGTCAAATTAGGTGGATGCTTGGGGTGCCGAGCTCCTTACTGATGTTGTCCGCCTGGGAGCTCTCTCGCAAATCTTCAATTAAGCGTCTACGTCGATTTTCAAGTCGGGTAACTTCGTTCAGTGCACTTCGTAGCCGGCTTATTTCACGTCCCACCTGAGGTGACAGTACAGGTCTTCGGCTGCTGGGTACGAAGGCCTCCAAGTCTCGATTTGTCCCAGCCAGAACCTGCAGAACTCGACCATGTTCATTCAGCTTGCTCTGGATGAAGTTATCGCTGGTATTGGCGGATGAGAGGTAACCTTCTATCTCACTGGTCTGCGCATATAGATTTGGAGCTGCCTTCTCGGATGGCTCTCGAGTCCATCGATCAGTACCATACTTGAGTCTTGCCCTCTGGTCCTCTTCCTTCTCTGCATTCAAAAGATCTACTGCTTCGGTAAAAGTAGCTTTGTCAGTTGCTTTCAACTTGGAAGTGTCGTCCAATGATGTTAAAATGCGGTTCAGCCCATCTTGCTGCCGAATTTCTTCTGCATGAGATACTAGGCTAGGTGGCAGACCCAGGGGCTTTTCGAGTGCCTGGAGAGATCCAGGTAGGTTCAGCGATTGTAGGAGACTATATTTGAATGTTAGATTCGTTAACAAGAAAATCTCAGCGCAATAATCGGAATATCTTACTCTCGAAGCTTCGTTGTCATGGATTCCAGCTCGCCAATGGTCTCATTGACTCGGCGGTCTCTGCGGTCAGCATATATACTAGCTGCAACGTGCACAGCGTAAGGTACCAATTTCGCAAATAGAGCGCGACCTAGAGGAGCACCCTCTCCAATCATGGACAGCCCGTTTATCACTTCAGGTGGAGCTTTGGCGGCGACCATATTAGCCCTGTCCAGGAGTTTCAGCTCCGACTTGGGAGGAACATGATCCAGGTATATCATGTCATTATCTTTTTCAGCCCTTTTCAAGTCTTCACTGACTCTGGATTTCAACCCATTAAGGTCACTGAGAACCACCTTGTTGATCCACCGCTTCTCCTTCAGCGCCTCATTGGCACATAAAAGACTATCTCTCAACCGCGCAACTTCTTCGCCATACTTTCTCTTCTCTAAACAATCAAGTGATTGCCTATACTGAGCAGCCGCGGCGAAGTGGTGATGTTTGGCAGTCATATGATGTATCCAGTCAGTGCTTATGCAGTTGGATTTCACAGCATAGCCGCCGGCATTGATATAATAATCAGAGACCTTCGCGGCTAACCGTGCAATCGAGACATCTTTCAAACCATCTTTCACCGCTTTTTGCCAAAAGCATTCCTGGCTTTGCGCAAGGAGAAGCTCTTCCAAACTTCTCAACGTCATTTCATCCATGTCTTCTGGGGGTGATGTTCGTAGGTCTGGTAGTATATCCGTCCTTATATGCTCGATGACACCGGCAGCCTGGCAGAAATATTTGCATGCAGTCTTCAGGGTCTCCGAGTTGGCGGGAATCAATGAAACGGCAAGCTGTGAGTAAAGTGCAGCGAGATTGAAGAGTATATTGACAAGCTCAAAGCGGAGGTTATTCTGGGATACTAGATCAGTCAAAACAGTCAGCAATTCCTCCGGTTTATGGGGCCTGGTTCAAAAACTGACCTGGTCGTCCTGTATTGAATCCAAAGGCAGGGTACCATGGAAATTCCACGCCAACCTATCAAGCCCTCGCAGTCAATATGATAACCTCGTTATAGGGAGGTAAGGCCGCAAGCTGGACTCACGTCGATAGGAAACTTCCCGCCAATCCATTTTAGCTGTGCAGCATATATCACCAGCCTAGCGATGCCGCTTTCGTGAGGCTCCTGTAAGCTGATAGCATCTGAGCGCATCTGGTCGATTATTATGAAGTCCTCCGCAAACATGTCCGGGTGCTGGTCGTATTTTGTAGAGATGTACTGTTTCATAGCATCGGAGAGGGACACATTGTGAGACCGTCTAAACGGTAACTGTAGGATACTCCTGTAGCAAAGAAAAGGAAAAATCAAGCAGCATGTTAGCCAGTGGTTGCTCTGCGCAGGCATGAGCTGGCGGTGGAGGGGCAGCCGTACGCGGTCTACACCACCCGGAGGACTGAATCACTTACGATGCCATGGTATCTGAGTATTCTGGCGGAGAGGGAGAGAATATCCCGTCTCCTGCAACTCCCGCTCAATAGAAGAGCACTAAGGGTGTGAATCTTGAGCTGCCTGTGGTGTTGGATGTGGTCGACCGGGTAAATATTCGTTTCTACGAGGTTGAGAAGGACGAAAGTTCAAACAAAACACGCGATCACCACAGCGACCTTTTTTACTCTCCGCAAAGTTCACATCCTTAGAACACAACAGCAATAGCAGGCCACAGGGCGACTTACTCGTTAGATAACTACATGGATTGGATGCTGATGAGAAGACGATTTCCGGGATACACGATTCGGTCTTGAAATATGGTTGGAGTGGGTTGGTTGCCTTTGTCCATGCGGCTATGATGCAGGTAACAACAAACCTACCTACTAACAGGTCGATACCAAGGAACCATGGACACAAAAGCAGTGAGAGTTATAATCATTACTACGAGGAAGAAAACAGTCTGGCCAGAATCAAATGCTTGTATTTGCGACTAAAAAAAAGGCCAATATGCATGCAGTGCCTTGATAGAGTGAAAAGAAAGTCCCAAGAGCAATGTCGAACGAGAAGAAAAAAGTAGGAGACTAGGCAGACAAACCCAGTGACAAGGCCTCCGACATCGCAGTTATTCTTGAGTAAAGCAAATATGAACAAGGGCGGAGGCGAAGAGAGATATAGCAATCATCCAAGATCGAGATCAAGGTCAAGCTGGGGATATAAAAAGGAGAACGGTCCCATAGTAAACAACTCGGAAACGGAAGTAAGGAAATGTAAGGAGGTCATAAAAGCGGGCTCCATCCAAGGTGAAAAAAGGAGGATTGGATAAATATAAATGGGTCAAACTTCCAGCTTATCGATCTCTCTCTTGAAATACTCGAACATGGTCAGAAGGAGCATGTTCTGCACAGCCGTGCGAAGGATGATGACGGATAGACCAGTATAGACGGAATTCTTGGCCACGGCGGCTCCCACTTCTTTGGATTGACCGAGTATCATACTCTGTCGGCGAGTTTTGCGGGTATCAAGGGGGTACGTCTGGAGATACGGACATTAGTTTAACCCGACTAGACAGCTTATGCGAGTATATACATATATATGAATTTAGAGTATTAGCACTTACGAATAGCCATGGGAGGGTGCCGCAGAGTGCACCACCGACCAACTGGGGCCCGAACGGAGAATGGTTGTCACCCAGGTACTTTGACATCAGTTGCTTTGATGTTTCATAAACGGCAAAATAGAGCCCGGTGCCAACTGTGTCTCGTGCCACGTGAAGACCCATTCCGGTGTAGAGACCGCTGAAGCCATGACGAGAAATGATTTGTTTGATGGCCTGGATAGTCGATAGACGTGGAACGTTTTGAAGAGAGGTATACTTGAGGCCTTTTCCCGTCGGTCCACGCTGGCTGCTTGCCATGAGAACAGACGTCTGAACCACATTTTTGGCGAGTTCGAAGGGACCTATTACTTGTTATTATCGCAGTTACAGCTAATTTGTAAGTACTATGTGGAAGGATAAACGGACATGCAATAGGAGCAGCACAGAGGCCGGCCAGCATCCCAGATGCCATGAAACAGGAGACACCGGTGAAAGTAGGAAGGGAGCCTGGAGTGTTGTATACGGCTAATGGAGACGTCCCCGTCTGTCTTTCCACAAAGTCGGAGATGGCATGCTTGCACTTCTGGTAGACGGTGAAATTGGTGACTCTGACTATGGTAAGACTCGCTAGTGGTGGTAACGCGCCTGGACACACGAGTTAGATGAATCTCTTGTGTGGCTCTTGAACGTGAAACAGCCCATCTTACCAGCCATAAACCCGCGTGGTCCTTCATGCTTGAGCATGTACCGAAGGCAGTCAGTTGTCCCCTTGAAGTTGTATCTAGCACAGCCACGTCAGTATGAAATATACGGCATTAGCCTTATAGAGTAAGAAACAGATACTCACGACTGGAGTCGAGTCTTCACATTCTCCAGTGGGGTCTAGAATGCGAGTTAGCCCATGAAATTTCACATTCTGAACGCGTCTGCCAACAACCAAACAGGAGGCGACTCACCACGGCCAGGCAGGCGAGGATGGTCGAGGTCGCCGAGGCCGCCTGGATCCGGTAGTCCTTGAGGAAGCGGTTCCTGGCCGGCGTGTCGAAGGGGATGGCCCACGGCGGCATCTCGGTTGCGGCTGTCTCTGGCGGGCTCACGGTGGCTGCCGGAGGTTGCAGGGAGGATGCTGAGACCGGTGCTGAGAGGGCAGTTACATGTCCAGCATCCTCCTGTGAGGACGACATAAGCGGCGGTGGGCTGCTAGCACTATCACTGTCACTGTCACTGACACTGACACTGACACTGATACTGATACTTGACACTGACACTTTGACACTGATAGCAGACAGCACACTGACTGGCTCAGGCCGTCGCCCGCAGAGACCTATGGAACGCAAAGTGGTCTCTCAGCGTGTGAGTGAGCAGACCTCTCAGCGTCCCACAGGTGTCCATGGGTCCTTGCTGGGCAGTTTGACCTAGCCAGCACTTGGGATCCTTGGAGAGGGGGGTGGGCGTTTATCCTCTCTTTTTTTATGGCCCTGCCTTAATGTCTCTGGATCCGCTGGGAGAGGAGGTTCTTTATTTTCCTTTGGAATATCCCAGTATCTTAAGCCTGCTACTGGGCCACCGCCACAGCGTGTATTCAGGGAAATAAGAATAGAAGGCAGTGCAAGGTAAGGAGAGGGAAGCAAGGGGAAAGGAGAGGCCTAGTTGGATGTCCTGGTATAGATATAAAATATATATATGGCGATATGATGCAATGGCAGGCTCTCAAAAAGGAAGAAGAGCTGCCGTGGTATATATATAAGTGATAAGTGAATTGTAAGTGAATATAACAAAAGGATGGAGGTGAATATTAGGAATATACTATGCAAAAGGTGGGTGAATATGGCCGATGTATTTATATTATAGGAGAGCACAGAGGCCGGTCCAACTGTAATATAACCAGTAGCTGCTAATTGGAGCCAGCAGGGATCATTCCTCTTCAATAATGACAGGAAGATACGGAAAATGCAGCGGGAGAGGCCCAGAACCAGGAGCAATGGAAGCCCGCTGCCTATCCCTCAACGGTATCTCGAGATGGCGGGGGGAGGGAGGAGGAGGAGGCGGAGGAGGAGGAGGAGGAGGATGAAGTTGGCAGCCAGACGCCAGAGTCGACCTGCGGAACTTGAAAGGTCGTGAGAGACCGCGAGAGCGATGGCCGAGAGCGAGAGAGGGAAGAAGAGCAGCCGGACGGAGCAGCCTGGAGCCTCTCTCTCTGCAGCCGGCAGCAAGGGTGAGGGCGAAGGGCGAGCAGGCGGGAGAGAGGGCGAGAACCAGGACGGAGATGCGGTTTTGTCAACGAAGCAACCAGCAGCAGCAGCAGCGAGCTTCCGCTCAACCAGCCAACCAGCCAGTCAACTTCGCCCAACCTAGATCCAAGGGTCGACGGCCATGATCGAACGCACTAACGATATTCCGTTAGTTAGCTGGCGGGCATCATCAGCGCTGGAAGAGGGACAAAGGTCGACGGAGATGTGGCTAACGAGGAGAGTCAAACTACATGTGAACCCTCTGGGGCGATCGATCTCGCGCAGGGCGGTTGAACTAATCTCACTAACTAACTAGTCGTTAACTAACCAGTATCCCAAGTACCGTCTACCGCGCTGTGCTACGGGAGCGGCCACCAAACGCAAGGTCGACGGGACTTCAGCCAAACGCACCGCCGGCCATGGTCTGACCAGTGACGTCGTCAAGGGCGTCTTTGGCTTTTGCTGCTTTGTGACTGCAAGCCCATCCACCACCACCGAGCCAATGGCGGACAAGCCAAACTGCACTTACACTGGAGCCAAGGAGGGGCCTTGCTCTGTGGTATATAAGTACTTAGTTACTTCGTTGCGCCGGGGAGGGTTTGCTCTGCTTGGGCGACACAGACAGGCGCCTGGTGGCACATACACACATAACCTTGCCGCATGGAGAACCGCGAGCTGTACCTCTGCCGGGTTCTCGAAGTATTCGGTACATCTCGCCAGTTAGTTAACTAGTTAGTTATACGACCCAGACACTTATGGCTAGGGATCCAGACAAGAACGGCCGGCCTTGGGACGTGGACTCCAAGCCTAGTTATCGTCTGAAGTGCTGCGTTTACCGTCTCCTCTCACCATGGAGCTGGTTAGTTACTGGTATCCATAGGGGGCAGCCCGGCATCGTCTCCGGCAGTCTTGCGAAGCTTTCTTTTTTCCTTTTTTACCTTGCAGGAGCAGAAGACGATCATGACTGGGATGGACGGGGGTGGTCCTGGAATGCCTCTCCCGCCAGGGTTTCTTGACTTGGGTAGCCATGCTGGCTGCGATGGGCAGCCCAATAATGCCATAACTAACTAACTATATATCTATCTGCTCAATGGCCTGCCCATCCTCGAGCAGGTTGCCACAGCAAGACTCTAGGTAGACGGTTAATCAATGGCTGGCCTGAGACTCCAGCCAAGGGGAGCCTGAGGATCTCCAGCTGCACTTCCGCTGCCCGTGAACATTGCATATTAACTATTCCAGCAACGATGGCCGTCACCTCGTCGTCGGCGCTGCTGCTGCTGCTTGTTTACTGCTTTCTCTCAGTCAAATGGGAGAGAGATGCTTATGTCAGCGGCCGTCGAGCCTCGGGACCTCGCGGACCTCGGGACGTTCCCCGCAAGATCTGACGGGAGGCAGCTTGCTGGCAGGCATGAAAAGGAGAGTCAGGAGGAAAAGACGGAGCGGAAGAGGAAGAGGATTAATATACGGGGGCGTTGCCTCGTCTCTTAGGAGTTTGAGGACTGGAGCCGATACTCCTTGGACCATCTTACACTAATCTTTGAGCCAGAACGCCCTTCCTTCTCTTAACTACATCCATTGCAACAATGGGGAAACGAACGCAGTCGCCAGCCTATGTCCTAGGCGTTGGCATGACCAAATTCATCAAACCGCGCGGAAAGGTCGACTACCATGAGCTGGGCTTCGAGGCTGGTGTCAAGGCTATGCTGGATGCCCACATCACCTACGACGACGTGGACCAGGGAGTTGCATGCTACTGCTACGGAGACAGCACCTGCGGCCAGCGAGTCTTCTACCAGTTCGGCCTCACCAAGATCCCCATCTACAATGTCAACAACAACTGCTCTACCGGCTCAACGGGCCTGGCCATGGCCCGTACCATGGTCTCGCACGGTGCTGCCGACTGCGTTCTCGTTGTTGGCTTCGAGAAGATGAGCCCCGGTAGTCTCTCCTCCAAGTTTGATGACAGAGAGAATCCTACTGGCAAATTGGGAGAAATGATGTTTGCTACCAGAGGAGTCACCAATGCGCCGGGAGCAGCCCAGATGTTTGGCAATGCCGGTGTCGAATACATCGAGAAGTGAGTTGCCCTTTTCCTACAAAAAAGATAAAGATTCTAACAACACAAACAATTAGATACGGTGCCAAAGCCGAAGACTTTGCAGAGATCGGCCGAATTAACCATGAACACTCGACGAGAAACCCATACTCCCAATTCCAAACCGAGTACACCCACGAGCAAATCTCCAAATCCCCCATGATCCACTTCCCCTTAACCAAACTCCAGTGCTGCCCAACCTCAGACGGTGGTGCTGCAGCCGTGGTCGTTTCACAAGCGTTCCTCGATGCTCGACCACACCTCAAGGACCAGGCCATCCTGATTGCCGGCCAATGCCTCGCCACAGACACTCCCTCGGTGTACAACGAAAGCTCCATAAGCCTCATGGGCTTCGAAATGACCCGCTACGCCTGCCAGACCGCAGCTGCTGAAGCCGGAATTAACGTCAAGGACGTCAAAGTCTGCGAACTACATGACTGTTTCTCGGCAAACGAAATGATCACCATCGATGCACTGGAACTTTGCGAGCCCGGGAAGGCTCACGAAATGGTACGCAAGGGCGACATCACATACGGTGGGAAGATGGTCATAAACCCGTCCGGCGGCCTGATTTCAAAGGGCCACCCTCTCGGCGCAACTGGCATTGCCCAATGTGCAGAGCTAGTCTGGCACCTTCGTGGTTGGGCCAACAACCGCTTAGTCAAGGGCACTGATGTCGCATTACAGCATAATCTTGGCCTTGGCGGGGCTGTTGTCGTTACGGTGTATAAGCGGGCAGATGGTAAAGTATCACAGCCTGTAACAAGCGAGGAAGTAGGGAAGATCAATCAGCTTGGGTACAATCCTGCCGTTGAAGCAAAGGGATTCACGGCTGAACAAGCGGCAAGGGTGCTCAGCAAGGAAAACCGCAGCGACTGGGCTATGGGAGACACCCAAGAGAAGGTCCTAGCGCGTTTTTAAGCGCTTCGACCCCCAGCTGCCCTTGAGTTCCTCTGGATATACTCTATACCCCCAATGTATATAATTCAGTTCGTCAGGTAGGAGCCTTTTTCTTCTTATCCTCCTCGGCTTGCTTTGCTGGCTCATACCGGCTCTCATATCAGATTATTTGATTATGTTAAGAGGACGTCAGTGGCACCAGCATGACAATGGCGGCTATTTCCCCTTTGCTATGGCAGGCAATACAGTGAGAGGCATCAGATAACTTAAAACTCTCCTAAGCCTTAATCATGTAGTACTGCATTTACGAATGTTTCAACTTCTACTCTTGAGACACCTTTTCCACTGGAACTCAACCTCCAACCCTAAATATCTTGTCCATCATGGCCTTGTATCCAAATTCACAAGCAATATGTCCACGGTTACATATCTACTCACTACAAAGTCAAAAATACACTTACGATGTAGGACCTGGCAGGCACAGAGACAAAGCGTGACACCGCCATCCACTCCCTGAAACCTCAAGAGATCTTCCAGAAGGGAAAAAAAAAAGCATTTCTTGAGACTGATCGAAAAGCCCAATGCCTTCTCGAAGTTTCCCGTATATCTATACTTCTCTGTCCCACCACGGCAGGCTTCAAGCTGTTTTTTGATGGAGGTAACTTGCACGTGATACGATATCAATTATATAATACAGTCTAACCCAAATAACACTAGCGCCGCACTTTCACCTTTCGACTTTTCGACTTTTCTGGCTTTTTTTCTTCTCTCTTTCCATCAAACATATTTCACGGTCTCTATGCCCTTGTCGAATGGTACACGCATCCATTACCTCTACAAATTTGTCAACATGAGACCCAGATAGAGCTTATTCTGCCTGTTCTAATACTCGTCCGCCAGTGGAAGCTCAGCTTTCACCTCCAGGGCGCCTGATGAGCTTCGCTTTGGCATACATCATTTCATTTTGCTGCCTAGGTGCTGTTTAACTAACTACCCATAGCAATATCACTGTCATGCTGAAGCAATACCCGGGATAAGGAATATCGACAGGCCAGTTGGAATAATGCTTGCCCTGGACCTGGGACGAAGAGGAGCTCATATCGCCTTGGTACATGCGACTGTATCTCCGCTATATCGCCTCGCTTCGACCGATAATCGATTAACTCCTATCCCTATACCATACGTACCTACTTGCCGGGTAATAGCTTCGCTAACTTTCGGACACAAGTCATACGTCTACGTTACAGCAGCGAATAAAACTTGCAGCACGGCATAATCGAAGTCTCGTCCGTCCTCTCCATGATGGGTTCTGCGTTCGCGCAGCGAGGTCAAAAATATTGCCAATATTAACCAAAAAAGTTATCAACTTGTCTCGCTCGTGTTGCGCCCGCCTTTCAATCATTCTATCAACGTAGTTTGTTTCATAGGGCTGAGGCGTGTCAAATAGAGTTAGATACATCTCACCAACAACCCAGCTACCATCCTACTCTATTTAGGCAAATGTAGAGTATCAATCGATTCTAATCATATTCTCCGTTTACGCTCCTATTGTCCCTACGACTAGAGGTGGACAACATATCTGGTAAATCTCCATATGCCAATACCAGAGACGTTGATAAACCTGAGTCAATTCTACATCATTGTTTTGCTGCGGCCTGTCGTTGGCCTTCGTATAGTCCTGTGTAGTAACCAGCAAAATACCACGACATCATGAGATTCTTCAGCCCTTCGTCTTGAACTATATTCAATGTTAGTCTTCGGGAACGTGTTCATGGTTGCTTCGGTTATCAATGTACTCACTGTTTGGCGGATTAGGTGCTCCGTTAAGAACTTCTTGCGGCATACTCGCCAAATTCGCACTTGCTGGCGCGGCCGTATCAGCCTGGTCTGCCTCTGCAGTTAATTCTGGTGCTGCTTCATCCTATATAAGTGTATCATTAGTGAGCAGTTCGGCCTACAGCCAGAGTATGTCTGTTAACGGGGGAAAAACCAACCTCAACTTGACTCGTCGTGCAGGCATCTACCTGCTTTATCTTGCCATCAGACTCTTCCACGACGACGGTCTCTAATGCATTCACGGTCGATTTTTCTGAGAGGTTTTCCGTTTCAGCGTTGGTCTCAATCTGCATTTCATCTTCATTTGCGTTGGAGCCTTCTGCTGCTGCTGCTTCGCGAAGAACATCCTCCACTTTCTGGCCCCTAGCTTGAATGCTGTGATAGAGCTATAATAGAAAAGAGAAAGGGGTTAGAAAGTTCTCATCAATACAGCAACATCCGTAGAAAGAGATCACGTACCCTGTACTCCTCCGCAGCCTCTTCCCAGGACTCAAGGAGTGCCGAATCGTCCCATATTTCTTCTTGAGTTAGAGTTTTGTTTTTGCTAGAACGTTTTCTCTTCTTCATGGCTCTCACCTCGAAGCAGTTGTGTCAAGTATATCGCTATACTGAGAGGATCGAGCTGCACCGTCAAGCCGTTGAAGCTCCAAAAGGGTTTTGCGCTGCTGTTATCGATTTCGCGGAGGAGCTCTCGAAATCTTGGCGCCGATCCACAACGCAAAGGAAAAAAAGATAAAAAAAAAAATTTAAGAAACATGCCAGAAGTTCACAAGCCCTTTACCGCGCACAATTGACTACAACCAGACTCCAGGATGGCTCCAGAGAAGAAGGCCACCAAGCGCAAAGGTTAGTATTTTACTTATGAGTCAAAGTTTCACGGTGACGCGTTCTAATTTGGTTGTATAGCGCCCGCGACGACCACCGCTGCTCCTGCGGTGAACGAACATCCACCATCGAAAAAGTCCAAGAAGACTCAGGAAAAACCTGCAAAGCCAGAGGCGGCTACAGTGAAGGCCTCCGGTACTAAGTCTAAGAAAGAAAAGGTCATTGTTAATGGCGCCAAATCCGAGAAACTGTCTGTCAAGGTCGACAAGAAGCCCACGAAGGAATTGAAGCCCCGCAAACGTGCCGCAGACTTCCTGAGCGATGATGATGATGAAGGAGAAGAGCCAAAGCAGGAGATAATTCCTAAGCCTAAAGCTGAAAAGAAGGAAACGCAACCAAAGAAGAAAGCCAAATCCGAAAAGCCTGGTGTCAGTGCCGAGTCAAAGGAAAAGATAAAGAAGGCCAAATCCAAAGCCAAGGAGGTCGAGAAGGAGCCTGAAGAAGCTCCTGAGCTTGTAGAAGAGCATTTTTCTCCCAATTCTAATGCTGACTCGGACGAGGAGGCCGAAGATGACCAAACCCTTGCATTGATTCGAGGGTTTGAGAGCAGCGGGGATGAGGACCCCTCAGAAGACGAAGGCTTTGAGCCAGGTCAAGAGGTTCCAAAGATTCCTGACTCTATGAAGGCCATGAAGGCTATTCGAAAGAAGAAGAAAGAGAGCTCTGCACCAGAGGAGCCTGGTACTGTATATGTTGGGTATGCTTTATTGCGCCTGAACTCTGCTTCACTCTTATTATAATGCAGCTAACTCGTATGTGCTATGTAGGCGAATCCCACACGGTTTCTACGAAGATGAGATGCGCGCATATTTCTCCCAGTTTGGAGACATCTCACGCCTACGCCTCTCGCGCAACCGTACTACCGGCAAATCGAAACACTATGCGTTCATTGAATTCACATCCTCCTCTGTCGCCAAAGTTGTTGCTGCTACTATGCAAAACTACCTTATGTTTGGCCACATCTTGAAATGCATGTACATACCCCAGGACAAAGTTCATGCGGATATGTGGAAGGGAGCCAACCGTCGCTTCAAGAAGACGCCATGGAACCAGATTGAAAAGCGCCGACTTGATGCCGGAAAGTCACGCGAAGGATGGTCAAAGGCTATTTCTAAAGAGAACTCGAAACGAGCTAAGAAGGCCGAAAAGATGAAAGCTCTAGGCTACGAGTATGAGATTCCAAAGTTGAAGTCCGTGAAGGAGGTCCCTGTTGCTCTAGCAGTGCAGGACCAAATTGAGGAGGGCACGTCTGCTCTCGTTGCCGCGATTGAGGACAAGAAAGAGGAGACTCCCAAAAAGAAAGAGTCAAAGAGCAAAGATGAAGTTGAAGTTGAAGCTAAACCTGTGACGAATGGAAAGGCGACCAAGGAGGAAAAAGCCGAAGCTGGGAATCTCGAAGCCGAAAAGAAGTCCGCTGAGAAGAAAGAGCTAAAGAAAAGTAAGAAGAAGGCCGTGAGTGAAGCTCCCGCTATCTCTGAGAAGCCCACCAAAGACGAGAAACAGTCAAAGAGTGCCTCGAAGAATAAGAAGGCTGAAGAGAAGCCGAAGAAGGTGAAGAAGGCAAAGGCATAGAACTGGAACGACAGGGAGGTGACTTGACAATGCAAATAGCTGTTATTCTGTATTTATTATCTCTTTCTTCCATTTCCCTCCTTCTCATGTTTTCTATGTGTCAGCGTTCTGTTACCAGACGAAGTAGCGATATCAAGAGGGATCAGTTCAAAAGAAATGAAAATTATTTTATCTATTCCTGTCATCCAGCATTCCTTGCACCTCAGGCACCCAGTTACAAGTCACACAGACCTCTTGGCCCTGAGTCTAGGGGCTGCTGCCTAAGAGTTCCCAGGACCAAGGAACCGGCCGGCAAGCCCCTGCGGCTTCCCAAGGCTCGACCCAACCTTCGCCAAATAAAGACAAAGCCATGTTCAGCCCTAAAGTATCCTACACAAGGTTAATTATAATTACGTCACTACTCACGACTTCCCCTGGTTGTATGAAATGGCCGCAAAATACACATTCAGCCAACCAGCTACCAATACGAAAGGAGAGAGATATTATATATAATGGTAATAGATGCAGACGCGCCTTAGGGTGTGCCGTTCATAAAATCACATTATCCCGGGTATAATATGCAGTGTTTTAAGCACCAAGGGAACATGCAAGGGAAGACAAGACATACATGCGGACTTAGACCATGGCGTTGGTATAGGAATGGGAAACAAACATATAGACGTAAGGGAGATCGTTGACCTGTATCCGGCGTTTCTTGGTTTATTCTCCATGGGGAAAATGGCAGGGGATAAGTGAAGATGGTGATATTGACAACGGGCAGGAGAAGGCGCAACAAAGAACGGAAGCAAACAGGACAACCATCTAGATATCAGAGTGAGGCTCAAGGTATTGATTGCCAATCAGAATCTCATTCTCTCAATTTCTGAGAGATAAAAAACGAACGGTTTCGTATGTGTAAGCAGGCATGACCGGTGAAACAAAAACTGAGAAAAGAACAAGCAGATACAACGACGGGATATATTCTTTTGTTTTTCGCAAGAAAAAAAAGGAGAAGAAAAGGGGAGATATATTAAAAAAAAAAAAAAGGCTTTAACCGGGCGTATTTATGGGTATAGGAAGGATAATGGTAGGAAGTTCTTTCAAGACATGCCAGTCACCGTCACCGTTACTGCCACCGTTACCAGCAGGGAGGGAAGCATCTCGACACAAAATCAAACCTGATAAAACGAGATAGAAACTTGGAGAAATGAAACGAAAATCAAACGTAAATGGGAAGATCCGACGTGGGGGGAAACAATGAAAATGGTAATCAAGCTTGCGAGATGGCTGGGAAGAGAACAAAACGACATGATCTTGGTTCCATTCTCAAATCTATGTTGGCTTGTCGCAGCCAATTCTACCAAGTAGGGCTTTTCGATCATTATGGTCACTTAACGTAACTCGTCCACGGGTCGTTCTTATTCGCACCGGGTGGCTCTGGTGGTTCGAGCCGTTGGGCATGACTGATCGTGACCAGGCGCTGCCTTCTGAACCAGATGATGGGCTCACGATTCTTGCCGAAGAGGTGCCGGCCTTTTCCTTCGGCTCACCAGCGTCAACGTCTTCTTCGTCATCACTTCTTGTATCCTCTGCACTTGAGCCAGTCCACAAAACGCCCAGCGCTACTTTGATGATCATACCAAGCCAGATGAGTGAGAGAACTTGTAAGAGCAGCAACATTCCGAGGAAGATAACCTTGATGGTGCCAGTCATACATATTGGGCCATTGAGGTCGAGGAACGGGTTGAAGATATGGGCCAGGAGATCAGGCGAGCCGGTTGATAGCTGCTTGCCTGTGATACCAGAGTAACACCCAAACGGCACATCAGTGGGCACCGTTTTGTGAATGGACCACCACAAGCCCATGTAGATGAAATGGCGAGCAACAATCCAGGTTGTGACGAAGACACCGAAAGCAACTGTACAGGCGCGTTCGAATCCAAGGTATTTTAGCATTTTGGCGAACTGTTACTTCATTGTTAGCTTGAGATGCGCCGTGCGGCAGAATTGAAAGCAAAACCAAGGTACATACCGGTAGCATATAATCAACAATATCCATAAGGCAGAGAACGACGTTTGCGACGTTGTAGAAGCTATAAACATATGCGGATCCGAGGAGAGTGCTGGTTATGATATGGTGGATAAACATCTGCGCGTGGTCCTTGCGCTTGGCTTCAATGTGAATGACGAATATCTGCTGCACCCAAAAGGATAGCTGCAGGAGGCAGTATAGTTTGACGCTGCCGCTAACCTCTCGGGTAGGCCAGTCGGCCCATATAGCACGGAAATTGTACCAGTAGCTAGAATGATACCAGATGTGCTGGTGCAGTTAGCAGGGACAGTGATAAGAAAGACAAGAAATTTGTAGTAAGGCAGCTAACCATTCCATAGGCCCAGAAGGCAAGGTAGTAGACCAAGAGCCATCCCTGCTCGGCAAAGCGTATCGATTGCTTGTGTCTCAGGCCCAATTGAGAAGCAATGGGGTAGAACAGCCAGTCAATAACAATAGCTCTGGTAGCCGTAAAGCCCAGCATGGAGCTGATGATGAAGTAGACATCATCCAGCCCCTGCGTGTACTTTCCAGTCTCGGGGTGATAATGAGGCAGCTCGAGGTACGGAGTCGTGTATGCCCTTAGAGCTGGAACGAAAGTGTGTACGGCGAGTATCGCACCGAGAATCGAGAGCGAGCAGCCTGAACAACCGTTAAGTCAGTAAGAGCACGGATACAGCTAAGATGAAGCTTGCAATTGTGCTTTTTCACACACCTATCTGGTTTGCAACCATCCATTCTCGCCAGGAAGCGTTATCCTTGGACGCCCTGCTGGCCTCGGTAGTCGACACACAGGCATTGACGTTGGTTATCCCAGTCTGGCCCCGTTCAGCGACTGCGGTGACAGCCTCCTTAGCCATTGTTCACTCGCTTCACTGGCCTCGGCCGCTTGGTTCGGCAGAGCAGAGTTGTTGAGGACGGTGCACCGGGGGCGGTTGAGGTGGTGCTGGTGTGGAAAGGTTAACTAGAGGAGGATCGCATCCAAGCTATAAATTCGGCTCTTTTGCAATTCCAAACGCCCCCAATGGATGTGCTGTCCTCGACCAAGGGGGTAAAGAAAGAGAAAGAGAAGGAGAGAGAGATTGAGACCAGTCGAGTGACTGAAATCTCTTTCCTGCTGCAGCGAAGGGGGGCAAAGGGGCGAATGTGATTTGGTGATGGCGTGTATGCTCCCTATCTTCTGTCCTCTTTTTCTCTTTGGGTCAGACTAGGGACTAGTTAACCAGGGCAGGGTTTTTGTAACTCCCTACCTTAATAACTATAAGGCGGTGTCGCAGGGTTGGCCAGCACGGCGACAGCAGCGCCAGGCGGTGGAGGAGCAGGAGATGGAGTCGCAGCGAGTCTCTTCGTCCGCTACTCTTCGTCGTCTCGTCGTCGTCGTCGTCGTCCTGCTGGCGTTTTCTCTTGCTCGAGCTCGCCCGTCGTCGCTTTTCCATCCCGCGTCCATGAAACGGGCGCTCCCCCGTCCCCTTTTGGGCGGGACCACGTGCTCTGCTGAGTCATTTATTACTAATAAGGCGGAGAACGGCAACAGGTGGCAGAAAGACGACGACGACGAAGATGAAAACGATGAAGATGAAGACATTTAACGACGTTGATGATGATAAAGAAGAAGAAGAAGAAGAAGAAGAAGAAGAAGCAAAGAAGTGCAGTGAGGTGAAGGAAGAGGGGGGCAGGCCGGTGACGAGGGCGATGAGAGGCTGTACATATGTATAGTTGTCATGGATGGTGGGTGAGCTTCAGGGATGGAGACCCGGCATCACTGCACACCACAACCACGCTATAGCCCACGATCAGCTTACTTAGTTACAGACCGCATCTCAGCAGTAAACCTCTTTTTTAAAGGTGCAGCAGCGTCACTATATCCATGGATTCCTCGTCATTGACATGCATTGACACTCGGGCTTGCAGGATATAGTTCCCTTTCGTCGGAATACTCCGGACACAGATGAGAAGGCAAACAAAGACCAAGACCTCCGTCGTTAGAGCCACGGCAACGGCCCCAGAATTTTAGTAGTTAAGTAATTTATACGAACGCCAGGAAGATCTTCGATTATTGGCATTCCGCTGAGATTAAAGGCATACGGCTGCTAAGCCCGGATCTTGCTCCCATTCTGCGCATGTGTCTCCGAGCATTTCTTCAGCGCCCAGATGTCGCCCTGTCGGGTTAACCCTAGCCTAGAAAACCCAATTTTGGTTACTATAAAAATATATTTAAATAAACATGAACAAACAGTGTTCACTACTCCTGCAGGCCAGCTTTTAGTACGGATTTCACGCCAACATCTTCGGACTTGCATTTTCAGCCTCAGCCCCTCAATAAACTTACGCCTTCGACCAAAGATATAAGAACTGCCACATCTATGAGGCTCGAACATGATGGCGGGTCGCTGGCTGGAGACTCCGATCGTGAAGAGCTCAATCGTTTAGGGAAGAAACAAGTGCTCAGGGTGCGTGTTCGATATAAATGAAACAAGTCATACATATATTATTATAATGTACAGGCATTTCTAATAAATAACCAGAGAGGCTTCCGCTTTCTCTCTATCCTAGGCTTCAGCTGTGCTGTCCTCATCACTTGGGAGGCTTCGCTAGTCCTGTTCCTTACGGGTCTTCGAAATGGCGGCCATGCAGGCATCATATATGGCTACATAGTGATATGGGTCGGAAACCTGGCTGTCTTCACAACCCTTTCTGAGCTCGTCTCCATGGCTCCTACCTCTGGCGGACAGTACCATTGGGTCGCGATGCTGGCTCCAAAGTCAATGGCGAAATTTCTCAGTTACATTACCGGCTGGTTGACCGTGGCTGGATGGCAGGCCGGTTTCGCCTCTGCTTGCTTCTTGACCGGCTCCATGATCCAGGGACTCATTATATTTACGAACCCGTCTTATTCACCTAGCTCCTGGCATACCACTCTGCTTCTCTGCGCCGTAGCGTTGTACTGCGTCTTTGTCAATGTTGTGACCAGCAGGTTATTGCCTGCGTTTGAAAAGATAGCATTGGCTCTCCATGTTCTCGGATTTTTAGCAGTTTTGATACCGCTGGTTACATTTGGAGAAAAGAATGATGCAAATCTCGTATTCAAAAATTTCATCAACGAGGGAAATTGGTCCAGTCAGGGTGTCTCCTTTTTGGTCGGGTTGATTGGAAATGCATTCGCTTTTTTGGGTCAGTTCACAGTCCTCGGCCTTTTTCTGATGTATCCTATTTTTTTTTGGCTAACTATATTGATAGGACTTGATGGTGCATATCATGTACGTCTTGCTCGATTTGCCTTGATTCTATGCTACAATCTACTAACTTGAAACAGATGTCAGAGGAGATCCAAAATCCATCCATTACGGTTCCGCGCTCTATTATCCTTACTCTCGTTATTAATGGGAGCCTCGGATTATCAATGCTCATTGCGACTCTATTCAGCATAGTCGACCTGTCCGCTTCTATAGAGTCACCAACTGGTCTCCCGTTCATTGAGATCTTCCGGCAATCCACGGGTTCAATTGCTGGTTCTGCTACAATGGCGTCAGTCATCGTTACGTTAGCATTGTTTGCAAACTGTAACTACCTGGCTTCGACATCCCGTATGACCTGGTCGTTTGCAAGAGATCGCGGCCTGCCAGGCTGGAAATCATTGACTAAGGTCCGTCCATATACCGCTATACATTTTATTGGGTGTTATTGAACTTTTATGGTGAAATATTCAAATGCTAACCTAAGGCCTGTGATACAGGTTGAGAAACGCACCGAAGTACCGTTGATGTCAATTCTCGTCACCGCTACCATAACTATCCTTCTCTCTCTCATAGTTATTGGTTCAACGACGGCTTTCAATATCATTGTGTCTTTGACGGTTGCTTGCTTATATCTCAGTTATTTGCTGGCCACGAGCATGCTACTGTACCACCGATGCGTAGGAAACGTCTCATATCCTTCTAGTAACACGGGAATGGGCCAAACCCTTGCCAATACTACCGGCGCCCGTCTTATTTGGGGCCCATGGCATCTCCGTGGTGCCATGGGGATTGCAACAAATATATTTGGAGTCATATACCTGACGGTAATCCTGATATTCAGCTTCTTCCCTGCTGATGCTTCTCCGACGGCAGAAGGCATGAATTACAGCGTCGCCATTTGGTCGTTCGTGATTGTGTTTAGTATTGTATATTACCTTGCATATGCGCGGAGAGTGTACGATGGACCAGTAGTGGAAATTGATACCACGCCGTCTATTGAGCCCGCTCTCAAACAGTGATCTGGCATCAACATGTATATACAAAGAACAGACTAATTTTAATAGCTATTTACTTCCATTCAGGTCAATTTTTCCAATTATTATTCAGTCTATTCGATAAAATATATACATGGCAGATGATTGTAAACCAACAGGTTCAACCCAATAAAGTCAACTGATGATAGGATCTTCCAATCCAGCAGTGAGCTTATCCACATATTCGCTCGAGTCTATTATTTCGTGCTCCTTTGCGTCTGTGCGATTACCAGCTTGCAAGGCTTTATCGTTCATCACCTTCGCAACAGCATTGATAACCTCTTCTTCCTGCCAAACCCAATCATCACCATCCTTGCCTTCTCCACGATGGTACGCATCATACTTCGCACTTAGCTCGGGATCCCGTGCAATCACGCTTCTTGTCACACTAAGAGCCTGTAGCTTCGACATGGTAGCTAGCATAGTCGCAGTAGAGAGGGATAGAATCTGCTGTGCCTGCTCTGCGGGCGTGGGTAGGGTATAAAAGAGCCTATTGGTAGCCGACAAGTAAATCAGGGCAGCGCAAATAGCGTCAAACACAGTAAATGCTAGAGGCCGCAGCGTGACTAGCTGAACATGTAGACTTGTTGGAGCATCTGGGTACTGAGCGTATAGTTGCGTCCACTTATTACGCTGGCTGTCAGACGAGCTCCTCGGGCGGGAGAAAAGAGGAGACGTTGCTCGTAGGATAACACATAGTTCGATAACCAAAAGCGCCACAGCGCCAACGAGGAACTTATTCCTCCACCTGGCTGTCTTCTCCCCTACTATGGAGCTGGAAGTCGCTATGCCAATAACCAGAAAGTGGAATAGATGGGGCACTAGAGTGTTAAAGGGTAGATAGTAAAGAAGATAAGTAACCGCGCTATCCAACGAGCAGAACGGACAGGCAATCAGCGGCTCTGATCCAAGCTGCAGGTACACTCCTCTTGCCGTGTGAGAGCTGAAGAGCTTCTTGAGCGTGGAGTCGTGTTCGCTTTCGACCTCGAACCGTCCACCGAGCCGTCTCAGGCGAGAGAATAACAGTTCCGTCGGCGTGTTAAAACGCGAGCCTGTCAGTTTGAAGATATCATTTGTGCCCGAGCTGGTGCTGGAGAGTATATTACTACCCGGCGTAAGGCTAAGGGCGAGGAAGAGGGCGGTTGAGAAGAAGAGGGAGTTAAGCGCGCGGGAGGCGAGTGTAGGAAGAGCCTGGGGAGGCGGACGGTTCGTAAGGTGCGAGTAGACTGATCGGAAGAGAGCAATGGCCTTGGGTATTATGATCGGCGCAAAGAAGATGGCTAACGCCTTGATGCTATCGTGGGTTATGAGAAGTCAGTAGCTGGTGATAGGTGAGCCTGGATGGAGTTTGGAGGTAGCGCATACTTATCGTAGGAGAGCATATTTCGGGAGTACGCCTGCCCACTGCTCTGATAGAATAGGTCTTAGATATCGATAGTATCACACATCCTACGCAGCATGCCCTGAGTAGCTACGCCTATGACTTTGTGTTGGGAGTTGTTGTAGGTATTTGTATAGGTGTTCATTTAAAAATATATTTTAAGCGTGGATCTTTCTTTTTAGCTAACTAGCTAACTTAACTATCAACAGGGATATGCCCATGACAGCTGCAAGTGACTCGCCCAGGCATAGAGACATACACAAAGACATCGGGATGCATAAAATGGTATATAAACGACTAAAAAGACAGTTACAGTCGCTGGCTAAATAGATAACAAATAATTTTAAGCACACAAGTTCTTTTCCTCAGATGGCTCGGGAACGCTAGACGCTCGCTGATTTCAACGGGAAGTAAAAGCAAGGATGAAAGACGGAGATGGAGGTCCTCAAATATAAAATCGTGAAACGGCGCCACACCCGAAACACCTGCCAATCGTGCTAGAAAGTGAATAATGGGGCTTGAATATTAAAGGTGGAGGGAGAAAAAAAAGCCACAATATGGAATCCGGCCGCATAGACAAGCAAATTCAAGAAAACGAGCAACAGAAAGAATGTTGGTGGGTTTCCGGAATTCAGACTCCACAGATCATCTGGACTGGTATCATCAAATATAGTTAGAATACATTGCAGGATGGTGGGCGAGATTGGGAGCGGCAATCTCTGCAGAAGGCATGGGCATGGGCACTGGCATTGGCGCCGGTGACCTAGATGCGTTGGCAGGCGGTGTCGAGAAGGCGTCTAGAGGTGAAGAGATATGGACTGGATATCCGTTAGGGGGCTGAGGATGTCTTTTATGTCGAATTGAGCCTATCCGTGGAGTGGTGGATGAGGACTTGTAGGTATTCAGGGAGGCTTTGTGCGAGAGCTTGAAGGATCTGTAGCTGTCCTTGCGAGTGACCACTTCTTGTGTAGCAACAGCTCCTCGGGCACGAACATGACGTGCAGAGATTCCGATATCTGGATCTCGAAATACATAGCTCTGTGTCGATTGGTGTTAATGAGTAGCCAATCACATCAATGAAAATGGAAGGGGTACAAACCAGGCCAATATTGAGGGTCCCGATGACAATTGACACCACGCCAGCTCCGAGGATGAGTTTCCAGAAGGGAAGGCCTATTTCTTTCTGGCGGGTGGACTGGTTGTTCAGCTCCCCCAGAGTCGAGATACCGAGCAGCACCATGGTAGCCCCGAGAGTCACAAAGCCGGAGTCTTCGCCAAGCAGGGGCCAGTTCCGGTCAAAATACGCCCTGAAGACGCTGAGTTCCGAGACAATAAGGAATGCTATGGATGACATGTTAGAGTAAGGTAAATATTTATGTCTGTGGAGTTGCAGAAGGACGTACAGCAGACGGATGCAGAGGCAACATGAGTGACGGCTTCGAAAAAGAAAAAATTGGTGACCAGGACGATTTTGATCAGCAGGATTATGTTTGCGGCGATGACGACAAGAAGGCTGATGATGTTCATGACCCGAACGAGATTTAATATCACATATCCCGGGCCGGCCAAGGGAAACTTGGGGACCTCCATCTGCAAGGGTCGTTTTTCTTCAGTATTATTGTGGGTGTAGGAGCTGTAGTTGGAGGAGGGAGCGAGCGAATGCGCTGCAAGACTTGGTGCTTGCGATGGCATGGTTAGAAGACGATGATCTTATATATTGGCAGCAGCAGCAGCAGCAGTAGAAGTAGGAGATGGTATCAAAATGAAGGTAGAAGGTCAGAGAAGAGAAGAAGAGAAAGAAGAAGGCCTGGCCGGCAGGACAGAAGGGCTGTCAGGATGAATAACCAGGGACAGCGAAGAATATGATCAATAAGGAGCGAATGAAGGGCGGTTTGATTCAGCAGAGAGAGAGAGCGATGAATCAAACATCTCGCAGGTCAGCCATCAGACATTTGACAGGCGGTTGTTGGCAGACAGCAGACACTGTATATTGATTGATATGGTATTTTTGAACAATAGGTATAAAAAAAAAAAAGGGAAACCGACACAAGAAAGAGATGAAAGAAAGGCGAAGATGGAGACAGGAGAAGAAGAAGAAGAGGGAAACGCTTGAAGGCCGGTTTAAGCAGCCTCTTCTTCCTCTTCATCCACCAGTCCATCCTGTTACTCCATAACTATATTCACGATATATGAATAGCATGAAACAGCATGGTTGAACCATGTCTGCGCAGTATACGGGCAGAGGCCTCCAACCGCCCGTCCAGGGGCTCCCCTCGGGCAGGCCTGAGAGGCTCTCCTGTGCTTCAGGATGGCCCGTTGTCCCCCTCAGCGACTGGCCCTCGTCGTCCCTCCTGCGCTGCGTCTGCGGCCCGGGATGATGCTGAAACACAGCGTCTCGAGCATCTCCCGACCAACCACAGCCCGTCTTTTCCTCTTGACTCCTCGATCGTTCATCATTTTCATTCTACACTTATGCCCTTCGTCTCTCGTCTCTCTCTCGTCTCTCGTCTTTCCGTCTCGTTGCTTTTTTATATCCACGGTCACATGACCCCGGCGCTTCCATCGACCTCTTCGTTCTTCTGCGGCCGGTTTTTTTTTTTTCCTTCTTCTTCTTCGTTGCGACCTCCCGTTGTCCGTCGACTCGCTCTTCTGCTGTTCGCTCGTCCCCGCGGCCTCGTTGCTTCGTTGCTTCGGTTGCTTCGTACGCTCCGTCGTCAGAGTATCGTTCGGTTGACACTAAGCTGCTAAGATAGCGCACCATGACTCGCGGTAATCAGCGCGACAAGGCGAGGGAGAAGAACCTCAAGGAGGCGGCCAGCCATGTACGTTGAGTTGAGCCTTTATCGATAGTGCATGCTCTCCTGTTCCATGATGTTTGGCAGCCGATGACTGACCACTGACACTCCCGTCTTACAGAAGAAGAAAAATGAAATGAGCGGGACTGAGTTTGCTCGTACTAAGGAGGCTCAGGCTGAGATTATGCGGAAGAAACAAGAAGCTGGTGCGTAGACCTTTTGGTTGTGATTGCTTAGACGTAGCCGTTGACTGACTGGTTTGTTTTGTCTCTTTACAGCAAATGCGAGAAAGGCGGCTGAAGGGGGAAGCGCGAAGAAAAAGTAGCTGAAGGCATGCCATTGCCATTCTCCCGTCGCTGCGGCCTGCGTTAGTTCACAGATGATACCCGTTTTCCCTGGCTTGTCCGGTCAAGAGATGTTCGGCCTATGTTGAGTTTTTGGATATTCGGCTGCCTGGCCTCCCGCGTTAACCATCTTTCCAGCCAAGATATCACGATCTGTGATCTAATCAATCTCCGCATCGGGGAAACAGGGGATAGCGTGGTGTTATGCATTACGATGATGATAGAGAGGATTACTCCTCTACGAAGACAGCCTCCTTGATTCAAATGATAGCGTTATAGCGTTCTTTTTTACTTTTATTTTTCTTTTTATTTATTTTTTTTATCTATACATTCCAATCTCCTCCCCAGCTTAATACTAACATATAAATGACAACTCTCATTTGGTTATTCCCGAGACCAGCTCGCTATAATACCTCTTTTATCCACAAGTCATCACGGGAGATGCTGAGCCCACCTCTTCCACGACCTCGGGCCTGGTACATTAGCGGGAATCTCATTTGCCACAGGGCCTTCCAACTCCAACCTCAACGCTGCTGGTCCCTGGCCATGACCCTGGCCCCGGTCATACCATCCTTCTAGTCCACTTTCCGTTTCTTCTACTCTGGTCACCCCGAACTTCGACCCAGCAAGCTCAACAAAAGTCCACAGCGCCTCCCGTTGCCACTGCACCGCACGACCAAAGCGAATAACCTGCTGCACAACATCATGCACCTCATCGTCATTACCGCCATCACGGACCAACGTAAGTATGTGAAGCAGGAACATCCACCCTGAGTTATCGCCAGGGTTGCGTAGGCACCAGTCCCGCATGGTAATAATGAGATGGGTGTCGGATATTAGACGGGAGGTGGTAACTCCCGTTTCTGGTACCGCTGCGTTTGCCCCAGCACCCCTGCCATGTTCGGGTTCAACCTTGACATCGACCTCGTAAGTGGTGACGAGCTCTGATCGATCGTCAAGACCACCACCACCACCACCACCACCACCCAACAGGGCCAAGGTCTGCCGTAGATAGCTAAATGCATAGTAGTTCATCGGGTGATGTTCAGCTGCCCGCAAGACAAGCTCAACTTCACGTTTCAACAGCCCGGCCTTGGCCTGCTGCTGCTGCTGATGATGACGAAGGCAGACCTGCATAAGCCAGAGGCGATGGTACCAGAGCGTCGGCGACTTTGCATGCCGGTGTAAAGGCGATCCAAGCAAGGAGGCAGTAAAGTTGCACTCGATGGAGAGGAGTGGTGGTGGTGGTGTTGGTGACCACGGTCGATCGGCACCATCCGAGCCTTGCTTCGAGAGTGACCTGACAATCCTTCGCTTTCGCCAGTTACAGGCCGTCAGGTGCTCTGAGTCAAACACCAGGATGACTGTCGATGCCGCCGCCACCACCACATCGTCGTCACTGCCGTCTTCTGAAGTGGGATTGGACGTGAAAAAGGCCCGTCTGGCGGTGGTGAAGGCCTGGACAAGCGCCTTCTTGGTGACTCCGAGAGAGCTGCCGTCGCCATCTGTGAGCAGTGGTCCCAGGCCGTCAGGCAGGATCTCGATCTCGACTGTGTTTTCGCGCTCGCCTACGGAGGCCAGGGTATCATATATGCGCGCATCGAGTGCAGTAGACGTGCTGTCTGCGTCTGTAGCTGGAGCTGACATTGAAGAGCGACTTCATTCTCGTTGAGATATTCTCGTTTAGATAACTACTTCGTTGTTCTGGCTGCTGCGACTTTGCTTGTCTTGCCAAGCCTGCCTGCAAAAATCACGAGATTCAGGAGATTCGCGGCTTGAACAAGATATACGCCTATCGACAGTTGGAGGGAGCAGAGAGGGTAAGAGAGTCGTAGCTTCTACATAGCTGTTGAAGATGCCTTCAGCCAGTGTCGTCTCGTCTGCCCACTCAACTTCTCAGAGATGTGCGATGACGTGCAAGGTACAAGTCGTAAAATACGGGATACATGATCATCACGCGTGCAAATAAAAAAAAAAAAAAAAAAAAAAACAGAGGACAAGGACGAGACGAAAAAGAAGCAAAGAATGAAAAAAGCAAGCAGGCTGATCAATGGGAAGTGAGACGGATGGAACAGTCCAACGACTCGCGAGAAGGTCCATCGTGAGAGACTCGAGAGACACATCATAGCAGCCACCAGCTATACGTACAGAGTGACTGACTTGTCCGTTAGATACGTAGGTAGCTGAGTCCCTCGGAGCTCCATCGACGTCAGGGCCTCCCGTCGCACGGCCATAATACAGGAGCTCCCTAGCTATATCAGATATCGGTTCATGAGACATGAGAAACATCATCTCTGTTGCTATCAGTCATATTTGAACTTTAAAAAAAAAAAAACTAACCGTGACCACGGCTCTTCTGCTGCTGGCTCGGCCGGGGCTATGCACAGATAACAATAATATATTAGATTTACATCCACTCTGGAGAGGAACGACGGAAGAACATCGGGTTAACCTTTCAATAAAGGTACCCTTAAATTTGATCACCTTTTTCGCCGGAGCAAAGGACCAGAATAAGTTAAAGCCAGAGCCCAGCAGGAAAAGAAGAAAGAGGAGAACGAAAAAGCCTCCATCGCGTTGTTATTTTCTGTGCTGTGGTTGGACGGTTCGATTTTGATACTGACCAAAAGGGCTCTTTTTTTTTTTTTCTTTTACTCAATTGCTCTCTGCTGGGTGGAGGGAAAAAAGGGGAAAAAGAAACGAAACAGGACTTGACCCTGCTGCAGCATCCCTGTTGGTACGTTGGGTAATGTTATGAGAAGTGAAAAATACGGGCATACAGGTCCTGAATCTGGTATTACCAGTCCGGGTTTTACGCTGTGCTCTGCGAGACATCGAGGGGGGCCGCCCCAGCCTAACGAGTCAGGTAAACTTGTGATGATTGCTCGATCACTGGATTGGATGGGCGGCCATGGAAGAAGAGGAGAAAGAAGAAAAGAAGAAGAAGAAGACGGCGAAGAAGAAGACACCAACGACGACGACGACGGGTTGATTATTTATACGATGAAAGCCACGCCACATTTATGCTCTTGCTAGTGCAAGGTGTCTTTTTTTTTTTTCTTACGGAGTATGGAGTACATTATACTATTTGGGTGAGTGGTGATTTAACTACTTTTGCAGCAAGCGTTTGACGGAGCGAGAGGGCAGTCGGTGACTACTCTGGACTAAGAGTACTATTTTGATAGTTCTTGGTCTGTGTGACGATAGCTCGCGGCCAGAGGAGTAACTAACCCGTTAGTTCAAGGGCGGGTGCCCGTGATCCGGCGGTTACAGATAGACCATGCGATGAAACGGGGGGGGGGGGGGGTTAAAAAAGCAGGCGGTTTTGCAAGACAGCGAAGATTTCGATGGCCTGATCTCGATGTTTCTCATGTTTGTCGGCAATGATGTCTGAAGGTAAACGGACACCCGACGACGTGGCTCTGGGAGTCTCTTTCGCCGTCTACATACTCCGTATCACTACTTCTTTTCTGCTTCTTTATCCGGGGGCTGAAGAAGGAGGCGAAAGAACACTCAACCGAACACGAAGAGAGTTTCGACCTGTCCATGGTTCGACCGAAGATCGAAGGCGACTTTGAAGGAACAAATCTCGATGGCCACGAGATACGGCTTACTTACTTACATCCTTCCTCTGTCTTGTTGCTGCTGCTGCTGCTGCTGCTCGCTACGGAGGGCAGTGTCCTTACATGAGTTATGTAAGTATACATACGTGCGTAAGGATGTGACGTCTTAAGATGCCTGCGACTGCATGGTACTTTAGTACTTGTACTCCGTAAGTGACTAACAAACCAGGCCAAACAGCCAAACAGGGGGGCAAGGAGGAAATAAATATATTAAAAATGGAGCAGCAAGCAGAGACAGAAGAGCAAATTCGAACCCGACACTGCGGTTCCAGACCCCGAAAACAAGAAAGCAAGAACGAGACGGCATGAAGACGCTGGGAGATCTGCCGTTAGCCAGTCGATGGGACACACTCCTTTCGCTGCTCGCTCCCTGGGTTGCTTTCTTTTTCCTGCTCTCTTTTGGCTGCTGTTGTGTGTGTGGGTGTCTCTGTGTGTTCTGATTGAAGAATCATCCTTGAGCGGGTGACACAGCCATGCAACCTGTGACTTCTCGGTCAGCACACATAACATAACAGTTATTTTTATATAATAATACTCTGTACGGAGTTATACATGTCATCTTCCTGCGTCAGCCAGGGCGAGACATGCGAGTGAACCGAGGAACCTAGCAACCGCAGCAGCACCGTGTCCATGGCATGAGGGAACGACAAGCACCAACAAAACAGCACCTCTCTTACGCTGCTCCCACCCAGAAGAACGGACAAGAGGGGGGCCGGCAAGGCTGGGTCGGGTCAGATGGCGTCCGCTGTTTGGGTGCAGCTTGTTGCAGCTGTTATTTTGTGTGTGGCAGGTCGGGTTGTTAGTTGGGCTCCTTCTCCTTGCCTGGCTGGTGGGAGAGAGACCCAGCCGGAGGGGGGAGAAAAAGACCCTTGCATGCTGCTCACGCCCTCTGGGAACCCACCTTCGCGGTGCTGCTGCCGCCGTCCTGGGAGATGCAGAAGCCATCCATCCATTATTATTGTTAGTGATTATTATTATAAGTCTCGTCGTCACAGTGAAATAAATATATATTTATGTATACGAAAGAGCAGCGAGCGACTGCTGTCTGAAAGTAGAAGTGTAAGCGAGAAGGCCGCTGGCGGCTCGAGGACGCCACGTTTACCGAGCTGCCCGTTCGATGGCTGGGCAAGGCAAAAATGCTATTATATTACTCTTTTCGGTCGGATTTTCGTGTTTTCTTCTTCCTCTGCCCTTTGTTCGATCGTGCTCAAGGGGGCGCACCCTGCGTCCACCACCACCACTGTCTCCGCGGGGCCGCATGCTCCTGAAGTACATGTACCTCCCTGCGTGGCGTCTGACTCGTGCAGACTAGTCCAAGCCTCTGTCGCTGTCCTCAGCCTCTCTCTCGCTCTCTCTCTCTCTCGCCATATGTAGCATGTGTGTATAATAATGTATGTCTGTCTGTCTGTCTGTCTGTCTGTACGGTGCATCTCCGCCGCCGCCCACCAGTGTTGTTGTTGCTTCTGCGGCCAGACAGGAAACGAACAAGACAAAGTACGAAAACGAGAGGGGAACAACGGTAAGTTACGGCAGGTAACAACGCCTTGCCCCTCTGGGCCTAGTGCTACCCCACCCCTGTCCGGCCCAGCCCGTCGGAGTGGTCCAAGGGAAGCATGCCAAGCCCGCCAAGCCCGCTCCCCTATCAACCACTGTGGGGCCCTCGCCCTCTTTTCTTTTCTTCTTTTTTAAGCTTTTGGCTGGTATTTTTTAAGTGTTTCTCTGCTCTTACTGGCCCTGCCTGCTGGTGCTGGTACTGTCATGCCCGTTACAGCCCAGTAACATACTGCCCTTTTTCGCTGCGCTTACCGTACCGTACCATACGCCTGTTCCGGGGAGGGATCAGTGCGGCCCCAGCGCCCCGGACCTGGTCCACCCTTTTTTTTGCTTTCCTTCTCGTCGCTCGCCTTTCTCTTCTCTTCTTCCTCCTCCTCCTCCTCCTCCTCGCCTGCACACAAAAACCAAGCAGCACCGCCAGCACCAAACTACCACACGCCGACAGACAGACTCTCGCACGGCAGACACGCACACAGCACACAGTCTGACTGGCAGCCGTGTCGAAGGGCCGCAGACGATAAGTCGTCGCATGGTGAGTTGAGGCGAGGAGAGGCGAGGCGGCGTTGCGTGACTGTCGACTCAAACAAACTGACGGCTATCCAGGATACCAGTTAACCGCCCCGATTCTCTCGACTCTTTCTCTCTCTCACACACATACACTCTCTTTTTACTTCTGATTTTGGGCCATAGCCGTCGCCCAAGATGGCTTCCAAGTCGTCCATCCTGCACCCTCCAAATGAGACCGAGCACTCTTCGTCCAGGATCACCCGCGAGGGCAAGAAGATCACCTACTCGCTCAGGGTGATGCAGCAGCCAGAACGTGCCAGAGCATGCGGTGCCGGCGCTAAGTGTACGTCTCTTCTCTCGTCTTCTTCTTAAAACAAAGATTGTTGTTATCAGTAGGATGAGAACTAAGGAGTATTAGCCGCTGCGGACCGTCGTCCTGTCGACCCGCCACCGATCGTGGAGATGCGCATCTACGAGTCGGACCCAAACAACGACATGCAAAAGACTGACATCACCTTCTCATACAACGCCAACTTCTTCCTCTTCGCAACGCTCGAATGGGCTCGTCCTTATGCTCACGGCAGAGTGCAGGGCCAGCCGCCCACTTGTCCCGTCCTGACCGGTGTTCCAGTCGCAGGCATCGCATATCTCGACCGTCCCAGCCAGGCCGGCTACTTCATCTTCCCAGACCTCTCTGTCCGGCACGAGGGGCTCTACAGACTCAACTTCAGTCTGTACGAGGAACCCAAGGATAACAAGGACGAAGACAAGGTGTCTCCGTCTCCTGTCGGGACCGTGAGTACGACGGGCATGACCATGCCGATGAAGTCGAGACAGCCAATGAAGAACATGTATTTCCGTCTCGAGGTCAAGACCATTGCCTTCACCGTCTTCAGCGCAAAGAAGTTCCCTGGTCTGTCCGAGAGTACAACTCTTTCTCGCATAGTTGCCGAGCAGGGCTGCAGAGTGCGTATCCGTCGAGATGTGCGTATGCGTCGCAGAGAACCCAAGTCGAACAAAGACTACGGCGGCTACGATGAGAGACACGTTACGCCAGACTCGTACCATCCAGGAACACCGATCGAGCGGCCGAGAAGTGCCAGCAACTCGGGCATGGAAGGTGGTTACTACTGTCCAACACCACAACGCGCTCAGTCCGTTGCTCAGGGGTACGGCTATCCTGCTCCTCCGCCACCACCAGGACCAGTGTCTCAGCAGTATCAACAACAACAACCACCGCCACATCCTTCTGCCGGTCAGATGGCTCTCCCGGGACCGCCAGTGCAGTCTCAAGCTCAGTCTCATCTCTCCTTTGGTGCTCCACAACCACAATACTGCACTCCCCAGCTCCCGCCACAGCAGCAACAACAACAACAACCACCACCACCACCGCCGCCGCAGCACCCACCAAGCCAGATGCCCTACTCGTCGCCAATGCCCAGCTACACACCTCTCCGCCATCCATCAACGACAACAGAATATGAATCTCACGCTAAATACCCTTCCTACCAACAACCGCAGCAACCACAGCAACCACAGCAACCACAGCCATCGAGACAGCCGTCTGACCCCAACGTCAAGGCGAGCCTACCACCAATCTCCATCCCACACGACTCTGCATCGAGCGGGCCTCGCTACTCCTCAGATCCAAAAGCATACCAGTCGACCACATCCCAAGCAACTCAGATGCCTCCTCCATCGTCTCTCACCGCCGCCTCACCTTCTACTTCTTACAACCCGCCCACCACCAACGATGTGGTCGAACCAGCCACTCCAACAGAGCAGACACAGCAGAATTCATCCAATTCAACATCACAACAGCCACCAACCTATGACCCTACGCCAGGCAAAGGCTGGTCCTTCCGCCCGGAACCCTTACTCTCTTCCAAGCGAGGACACGGCGACGTCTTTGGCACCGCCCAGCATACCCAGCCCTTACACCACGGCAAACGGGCAGACTCTATCCCCACGTCATCTTCTAATACTAGTCGAAGCACTCTGCTATCACGCCTCACTCGACTACAGGGCATGGATGACGAAGACAACGGTATTATCGGCATGACCTACAAGCGAGCCGATGGTCGAGTTGCTACCAGAGTGGCTGGACTGGCGCGAGCGTCGTAAAAAAAAAAAAAAGATCAAGCATCATTTTCTATCAAAGCAAAACTTGAACACCTTTGAACGAAAATACCATTTTGCAATCGTTTCGTGTGATTTTTCTGCATAATGTGCCATATCTATACCAAACCGCAAGCCATCTCTACCCGCTAACCTGACCAGATCTTCCCACCCCGTTTCCTTCAATCTATCTTCTTTCATATCGCTTTATTGCTTGTTTGATACATCAAAAAACCTTTGGGAGGGTGGGAACCGGTGGCAATTTGCCCTTTTGAACTTCGTTTTCAGCTCCCTTGCGTCTGCCAGATGTTCTATACGCCTTTTCTCCGACTTGTTTATTTCCCCCCTTTTTACTGCTCTTCTTGCTATATATCTGGTATTCTTCTTTTTCTTTTTCTTTTGCCTCTTTCTCTCGCTATTTATTTCCCTATTTGTTGTCCTTGTTCTTGTCTTGATTCCCCTCGCCTGCCCGTCTATGATATCCAATCCCCTTTACCCTCTACATCTTTCCCGCACGCTTGCTTCTACTTCTTTTCCCCAGATGTATTTGACAACTCCTTCCCGCAACCGTTTTTGTCTCCACACACACACTTACCAATGTTACAGGGGCCGCAGACAACTCGAGTCCAATAGATTGGAATGAATAGTGAAAAGCCAAAAAATGCCATGTTGGATTGGACAGATGCAGCCGGAGTGCCTTTCCCCTTGCCAGTCGTTCTTCTTTATCTAATCTGAATGATTATATCTATCCATCTATATCCATCCCAGCCCTATGCATCTCAGTCTAGTCCAGCTTTCTTCTCCGTTCTTCCGTCTCTCCCCTGTTTAATACCCCTTTCTTTCTTTTTTTTTTTTTCTTTCTTTTTTACCGTCCATGTCCTCTCCTGTGTGTTTGTTTAGGTATATCTATCATCCATATCGTACGTACATTGAACAAATGGGAATATAAAGAAAGAACAGAAAGTGAGCAACAGCCGTTTCACCACCAGCACTCCTCGTATAATACTCACTCGCCCATCTATCTGTAGCCATCTATCCAACCGCAAGAGAGGAACTCTTCTGCAGTGTAATTGGCTGCCCTGCCAACCACCCCTTGTCCTGCGGCGTCTCTATGTACCTCCTGCGGTGCCCTTTTGCCCCTTGCTGGCCCAGCTTCCACTAGCCGCGCCTCCGCCGAGGACTAACCTTCTTCTTCTTCTTCTTCTTCTCCGCTTGTTGTTTTTCTTCTGGCTCTATTCCTTCTTTCGTCTTTCTTTTATCCGGGCGTGGGGGTTGTACCTGAATTGGGTGTCTGTCTGGTCGGCGAGCCGCGGATGTCGGTTTAAAAGCTGCTTGCGTCTCTGCTGTTTGGGCGTTGGATAGTTTGGCGTCTTCTTCTCCTGCCGACTGGCGGACGTTTGACTTGACGTTGGCTCTTCTTCTTCTTCTTCTGCTGTTGTTGTTATTTGTCATTTTGTTGTCGTTGTCTTGTTGCTCTTTCATCCAGACGTCAAGAGGTCAACATCGCCAACTTCAACCTTCAACCTTCACCCTTCAACCACTGACCTCACCGTCAGCATCGCCTTCTTCCCTTCACCATCTCCGCCGCCGCCGCCGTCGTCGTTTATTATATTCGTCTCGAGGTCGGCAGTCGAAGATCGGTCCCGGGCGTTTCACAAACCTGCCACAGCCCGCCAGCAACGTCAAACCCCGGCCTGCAGGGAGGCAACCTCGAGCCGAGTCTCGAGTCCAGCTCCAGTCCCGTCTACCCACCATTAATCAGACAGAGTCGGGGGCTTTCCTGCTCGCCTCTCTACGCTATACCGTCCTGTCTGTCTGGTCTCTCTTTATTGACCTCGCCGCCGGTGTCTGCTGCTTGGTATGTCGGCTCTGCTATTTACTTGCGAACTAACGCGTTGCCATCTCTCCTCCCACCATGTAAACAAACAAACAAACAAACCCAAAAAAACCCACCAGGCCAGCGGGTAAACGGGAGCAACAGGTTTAGCTAACGGACTAGTTTACTTAGATTATACGGAGTACGGGTTCCAGTCGATGTTACTCTAGATAAACGAGCTCGCGGACGAGAGTCAAGGTCAAGATGTCTCGACGGGCAAAGACGGGCGATGTAAGTGATTATTTGTTTTGTTTATCCGGTTCGCGTTACCAGAACCCGTGGCTGCCACAGAACCAAACAGCGAGACGTAGATACGACTCGAAAACATGCACAGAATTCAGTATAACTTGAATAATTCCAGGCTATGCCGCCTCCTTTGCCCTGGCATCTGGGAATCTATGTCGTTTCTTGACGGTTGTTGTGAAAGTGGTGTCCTGTGTGGTTGCACTGGCTACTGGTACATTAACACGTATAACTGACTATTGAGCGCAGGGAGATGAAGTTGATGTTGATCGCCAGCTAGAGGACACCCTACAGCAGTCAGCTGCTCAGGCTGCTGCTGCGGATGCCTCGCTGCTGGAGGATGGCCATGGAAGCCCGTACTACGATAGAAGGTATGGAAGTAGCAGCAGTCGTGGTCGGGCAGTTGTAACGGGGCCTTCAAAACGCAAGACATATCCATACCCATACCCAGAGACCGCTGCTGGACGTGATGGTGCCCTTTCTGCCTCTACGCCCTCTCATCGTCGCCGTGAGTCCAGCAGGGATCGTTACAGCGTTGACGTTGCCGGCTCATACCATTCATCATCGCCTCAGAAGCGTGTTGTGACTGGAGAGCTTCCTGAACAGCCGACTCTTCGTTCTCGCAGAGGTCAGGACGTAACGGAGCTTAGGGACAGACAGGAACGCCAGTCCCGGTTCCTAGAAGGAAGTATGAACGACAAGGTCAGCACACGTCCACCATCTGTTTTTATTGGCGAGGAGCAAGAGTACCTACTCTCGACATACATGGATGAACACAACGGCGGAAAAGGCGTCAATGGGTGGCAGCCTACTGCAGGTGGTCGGGCTTCGACAGCTCCCTTGCTACAGGGCAAGAAAGGATATCTTTCTTCCACCAAAACAAACAACACTGATGCAACTGACGCCAAATCCTCAGGTGTTTTCCGCTTTGGAAAGGCTATCGTCTCCGCTATCAACCCAATGGGTGTATGGGGCAACGTCTCTGAAATCTGGAAGGGTCATGATTCGTCATCCAAGGGGTCAGGCTCAAGAGAGATGCCGGTCGACACACCTCATGCCGCCCGCATCGAAAAGGCATACCAGGAATACAAGGCTTCAGCGGCCTATAGGAGCACCACACCTTCAACTGCCCCCTTACACAGATATGGCTATTCGGGGGATGACACTGGCAGCCCAGCAAAATTGCTCCCCGTTCAGACCCCACAACCGCAGCCGTCTCATCATCCGAGTGCTTTGATCCAATCCAGCATCAGCAAGGAGCTGCCACCTACACCACTTGAATGGCAAGGTCTGCCAGTTTCCACCGTCTCCAAACGTTCCTCGTTCCAGACAATCAAGGGCTCTCGATCATTCCTTAACCTCAGTCACTCCCTCCGAAAGGAGCAGTCACACAAAGACCTTGCAAGAGAAAACAAGCTGAGGAAAAAAGTTAGCAACCTTGAGGAGAAGCTCTTGAGATATAAACGCGAGCTCAGCACCTTTACACACGAGGAGGATAAGAAAGTGGATGAGCTTGAAGGAGATGCACATGCGGGCCTCGCTGTTCAAGTTAATAACCGTGTAACTCATCACCTTTATCCCCATACTACGGCCGGCCCCTCGGTTCCTTCAGTCCCATCTCCATCCCCATCTCCAGCTCCTCCAAGCCATGATGTGAGATATGTGCGAATGAGACCCAAAAAGTTCGTTCCAGGCGCCTTACCCTCTCTTCCTTCAGAGAGACTCCTTGACGATGGAGAGCCTCCCACCATCCGTGAAGTCTCAAGGCAAGAGGCTAGTCCTGAGAAGCCCATCTATACGAGGAGATCAGAACCACGACTGAGACGGGCGGTCCCGCGAATTAGAGAGGAAGATGTCACCCGGACTCCTGCCGCCACAACCACTAAACTGACCAAAGAGGGAGCAAGCACGCCTCCTTCACGGAAACGCAAGTCTCCTTCCCCCGACCATGCAAGTGTCCGTCGTCGCCGGATCTCTGCCACCTATAGCAAGAACATAAGGAGTAACAACAATAGCAACAATGCTAACGACAGCAATGATGGCGCCTCACCTCCGCCTTCGCCGCAGCCCAACCGCCGTATCTTGACTGAAAAGCTAACAGGACCCCGTCCGTACCCTGTCAATGCACGTACAGAGACGGAAGGCCGGCGTAATCAGCCATCTCGCAGAGCCAAAGAGATCAAGCCGGTCTACTACCCAAATTATGATTTGACAGGACGCTCTGTCCCTGTCCCCGAACGATCCGAATCCAGACCCAAGCACGATCAAACCCCAGCTCCAGCCCCGGCCAAAACGCCAATCCCCAAGTCAACCCCAGCCCTTCCCCCCCAGCATGGTGGCCCCTATGCATCAGTGGAAGTAGCCATCCCAATTTCAGTCGCCCCTCCCATCCCATCCTCTACCAAACCACCACCGACGCCAACCTCCAGGCAAAAATCGAATCAAAAGCAAACTGCAGATGCAACCGCAAATACTGCTTCAATTCCACCCCCACGCCCAGAGTCTGTTCCAGCAACAAAGGACATCATAAGCAGATCTGGCAGTCCAAGGAAGCACCACAACATTCCACCGCGTCGTAAAGCTGCCGAGAAGCCTATCAGCATTACCCCGGGGAAGGGGGGTGACGAGAATATCCCGCCTGTTCCTCCACTACCAGTAGAGCATGGAGGCAGTCCCTTGATTGAAGACGGCGAATTCGAGTGGCCTGAAGACATTTTTTAGATTTCGAGATATGAGTGATGATTTTATGTTCAACTGCCTCCCTCTTCTCTTTTCATACCTGCCAGGTCAATGATCATCTCATGCCGTTTGATATAATTCTGGCGGTATAATCACCATGATTCCTCCTATTGATGAACCGATCTCAATTGTGCATGACGAGATATGATTTGCTCTTTTTTTTAGTTATTTCCTTCTGTCATCTCACTATGCTCATGTTTTTCCTACCCCTTTCACCTTTGTCAATTTTAGTACGCACTGCACGCCCCTTTTGCTTCGTGCTTATTCCTTACCACTCGCACGGACTTTCTTTTGCTGTCTCTTGGTTCTTCATTCTTGATTCTTATTATTTGGAAGTCCTTTCTTAACCCTCAGCGTAGCGCAGCGCAGCACAACATGCATAGTTAGCATTTGGAGTTTGAACGACTGGAGTTACGTCTTTTTGACATTATTTCTGCTGCGAGCTTCCTTGATTAGGGTTGGAATGACAGCGATATGACGACAGCTAACTGAGTCAATCATGTGTAACGAGTCACAACAGGTAGTCGGTTTCCATTATATTTCCTTTATTCAAGAAAGACAAAAAAGTAGTTATATTGATAGCTAATCTTATATTGCTCCTGTAGTTTTGATGCACCTTGCCGTCGCCACATCTTAGGTATAGAGCGCGGGATTTAATGCAGCACGAAAAGCCCCCAGCCTATATAATAATAGCATGCATGTACATACATACATACATACAGCCTACACGTATGCCCGTGATTGTCATCTACCACCCTCTCCAGCTCTGCCAGACATCAACTATGCGATCCTTCTCGCTTCCCTGGGCTGTCGAATCAACAACAAGCACATAAGTGAACCCTGCAAGGCAAATGCAACAATGATTCGGCCAGATGCGCAGTTTCTCACCAATTCGCAAAGTCCGCATGTTCTGTCGTGATCCATGCCAGCGCAAAATTCCGTGCTCCTGGCTTACACGATCCAGTATCCATCCCGTTTTGTCTCCATCTGGATCATAAAAGCCGGTTCCTTCATCCGCTGCTGGTGCTGCGTCATTAGCCTGCTGCTGCTGCTGCTGCTGCTCACGCCAGGGTGTGACTACACCCCAACCCTCGTAGCTACGACACGGTTCCCGTCCTATAGCTAGTGAACCACATGCCACAAGCGCTTCCGGGTGTTCACGGTGCATGTACAATGATCCCACTTCCGCAAGAACAGTAAGCGCCAGGTCATCGAATGATAGATGTGAGCTGTTCGGCCGCGCACGGGCGGCTAACTGCTGCATGTCCAACGTCACGTACGCACCCGCGTGCAGTTCAATGTCATACGTCTGCTTGGTCTGGTCAATGAGATCCTTGGCCTTGTCTGCTCCTGGAAGAGAAAGGGTCCCGTGTTCCGTCAGGTTTTGTGCTGCGGTTGTGCTGGGCGTTGCGCCAACGGAGAGAACGAAGCGTCGTTGAGAGTAGTTTGTCTCCCCGTCAAAAGGGGTAGGCGGCGGGATGGCTGAAGCACGATCTGCAGCCAGTTTGCATCCTTCTATCTCGGCGCGAAGGTAGTCCATTGCCTCTGATGGGTTGTTGGAGCCATAGCTGTGTCCCATATGAGAGTAGAAGCCGCGAAGGGTGAAAAGATGCGGCTCCCTGCCTTCTAGGGCGTAAAGTTCACTGACAATAGCATTGAATTGGGCACTGCTGTAAGTCACACCAGCGCGACCGTAGCCAGTATCCAGCTTAATGAAGACGCCCAACCTCTTCCCACATAGGGCATGATAGCGGGACAGAAACGGAATGATCTCAACACTGTCCACCAGGCATGTCACTGCTCCATGGCCGAGCGCCTTTCCCAGTTCAGCTAAGCGAGGGAAGCATGACGGCTGAACGGGAAGGCCGTAGATTAACTATGTTGACATATTAGCTAACTAGTTTTGTATTACCTTAAAGCCCCCTTCATCCTTTATAAGGGAAGTTAACATACATCTACTTTCCGCCCTTTTGTTTGACATTCCTTCATGAACGGAACCAGCTGCTCAGCTTCTACCAAGGTGGATGCCACCAGCCGTACCGTATCTGACTTCTCACCAACTTGGAAGCGGGTGAGTTCGGTTGTCTATCAGCATGTCAGTCAGTTGGACGTCACGGAAACAACCCCCACTATACTGATTGCTGGTATACGTATGTATACTTCACCATCATATACACATATATCATGATTGAATATACACTTATGTTAGACACAAATAGGGGGATGATTGGGGATGTAACGGCACCTTATGTGTCTTGACATGCGCCCTAAAGTCCACGTCCAAAGCGAGGGCCGCATCAAGCATCACCTGGCAGTTCCGGCGTGCCACCTCACGGTCGATAACTGGTTTCGGACCGTCAACATCTTGCAACATACGACCAACGTACAAGGCCTTGAGGTCGGCCACCTCGGCAGTCGGTTGATAAGCGATGTTCAACGTCATCGTGTGGGTTGTTGTTGCTGTTGTTTTTTTTTTTATTTTTTTTTTGGGGGGGGCTATATGCCTCGTTTTCTCCTGACACGGAGGGTATGTTGGTTGTTACCTTCTTAGGGATGGATATCTGATTCCCAGCGGTGGTGTTCTCGCACGGCTCTGACGTGGCCTCAGACTCTCTCAAGTCCGCCTACCTGGCCGCTGATGAATGTATCAAATATGTGGACCAGACGATGTATATTCGCCCTTAACCCCGCCCGCTCCGTCGACGGTTGCTTGCAACCCCGGCGTGATGTCCGCAGGCCAACGTCAACCTGAAAAACAAAAGAAACAGAAAAAGAAAAAAAAACAAAGAGACAACCCTGTAGACCCTGTAGTGCTGGGTAGTTTATCAGGCTTGGACGGGCGGTTTGCTGTAAGACGGTTAGCTTGTTGCTCTGGTACCTGGCGGCGGAGAACGAACCTGACAGCCCCGTTAGCCTCGTTGGTCAGCTAATTAACTAGCTAGTGAGTTGTTGCGAAAGGTGACAAAGACGATGCAACATCGCACGTCCGGATATTCGTCTTAGCCAGCAGGTCCATGCAAGGCGTCCTGCAGGGCGACTGGGTATGTCGGCTTTTCTCCTGCTGCTGCTATTGACAAGGTGAGGCTGCGTGGAGTCGCGATGAAGTCAGGCCGACGTCGTTTGGTCGTTTCCGCGATGCGCTGGCTGACTAACCAGTTAGACTTAGGTTAGTTAGGTAGTGAAGTTAGTTAGCCGGGCGGGCAACGACATCTCATCCTCCACGCCGCGACGCAGTAGTTACCTGGCCAGCTGCACCAGCAGACAGCGAGAGTGACAGCGAGAGGACAGCAGGAAACCAGCGAAGATGTCTGCCAAAAGGGCTGTGTTCACGGACAAGGCACCCGCGCCGCTGCCGGTGTTCTCGCAGGCCATCGTCCACAACGGCATTGTTTACTGCTCCGGCCAGGTTGGAACCGATCCGGCTACCCGTGAGCTGGTCGAAGGGACCGTCAAGGATCGCACTGTACGTGTTTGCTCCCTCCCTCGCTGCTGAAAATGGCCGGCCATCCAGTAATATGGGCTGGAGAGGCGGCGGGACTGAGACGATGGTGGACTGGACTGACACCGCATGGCCATTGACGATGTACTTACATGCCGCAAACAGGCCCAGATATTCCGCAATATCACCGCAGTGCTGGAGGCTGCAGGGTCGAGCCTGGAGAAGCTGCTCAAGGTCAATATCTTTCTTACCAACATGGATGACTTCGCCGCGGTCAACGAGGTCTACGCGCAGGTCCTTAACTTTGAGCCCAAGCCGGTAAACGATGACCTTATTTCTCCAGCTTCGTCCATTCGTCTTCTTCTTCTTCTTCTTCTTTCTTTTTTTTTTTTTTTTGTCTCTTTTCTTTTTAGAGCTGCCTGTCTAGATGCTACTGGCCAGTCGCTGACCCCTTCAACACAGGTCCGAACATGTGTTGCAGTTAAAACCCTTCCACGAAACACTGATGTCGAGATTGAGTGTTCGGCTTATATCTAAATAACTAGCCTTAGTTATATTCAACTCTTTTCCCTTATTCTCAACTGGGGAGTAGGATAAGGGGCTCAAGTACAAATGTATTTAGCTAGTCAGCAATCAGAAGAAAGAAAAACGATTAAGCGTGCGTTGTCCTGCTTGTCAGACATGAACCGGAACAGAAGCAATATCTCACTAATTTCCACGTGGAAAAATAGCAAAGAAATAGAAAAAAATAAAGAGGCAAAACCAACGACGAGGGTAAAAAAAAGGAAAAGGAAAAAGGAAATACAGAAAAGAAAGGAAGAAAATCTGGTTTAAAAAGAAAAAGGAAAGTCAAGGAGGAGCCTTTCTTACATCGTTCTAGACATATCCTTTGACGTCAACAGAAATGTCTCTCAGCCACCAATTTCGCCTCCAACTGGGCGGTCAAAGACATCTCGACATCCACGAATCGTCACCCCCCCAAGCGGCCCGTCCAGCTGCTCAGCTGCCCTAAGGAAGAAAAACACGGTAAATCGGGCCCTGGGCAAAGAGGCAACAAGCCAGATGGTGCCAGATATGTAGGCTGGGAGGCAGACACCCCTGCAGGACCCTCTGATCTTACTCCTCACTCTGCTCATCATCCTTCTCATCCGTATCTCAGCTCTCAGAGTGAAGCGTTAAGTACGATGTGATCACCCAACGCTAATTCTCCCAACACCCCCGATCCATGCCTGATGCAATGCTCTTGAAAGAGGAAAAGAAACGAAAGAACAAGCAAGAAGAAGAAAAGAAAGAAAGGAAAGGGAAAGCAGAAAAAAAGGAACGAAGAAGACAGCAATTCCCCGAGAGCCCCATCCCTGACCCATCGTGAAAAGTACTTTGTATACATCGCATCCCACGCTCTCATGGGTTGGATGCACTGATGTCCTAATCTGGAGTATCTCCGGAGAATCCTTCATTGATACTTACCATTTCTTTCTAGAATTCTTTCTCGTCCATTCTTCTCCTGCGCCAGCTTCTTAGCTGGACAAGCCCCTTCCGTGCAATAATACTTATTAGCTAACCAAATTCTTCAGCAACCACTAGAAAGGGGGAAAAAGAAAGAAGATACGGGAACCAAAGATCCTTAACCGAGGTCCTTGATAACTAACAGGACTATCACTTTGACTAACTATAGTTTTATGGAGCCGTTGTTTGTCATGCATCGTGGAACAATCGCAACCGAGAGACCCCCCTCCCTGTCAACCTGATAGATTGAGATGTACGGAGTACGGAGTACCCTACCCGATGGTATCATGCCATGGGGGTCTCCGACCCTCTCAGGGCGGCTGGAAAAAGCAAAGACAAGAGCAAAAACAGAGGGCAGATCTGAAAATAGCCGTTTCAAGCTCTTTTCCTCGTTTGCTCCAACGAATTAGACATCGGCTTTCGTCTCTCTCCGGTTGTTCTCCCTTGACGATTATATTTTTTAGTATTACTCCGTACCTCAGTGATCCAACCTGAGGCTTTTCTCCACGGTGTAATCTGTTTGCCTTTTTTTTTTTTTTTTTTTCTCCTCGTTCTCATTCTCTGATTCTGGCTCCTTTCTTTTTTATCTTGTCCATCTTGTCCGCCCAGATCTTGCAGTGCAAAAAGCTAACTCGGAATCCTGTAACTAGGGAACTGCCCAGGAAAAAGGGGGCGAGGCAAAGAAAGAACGATAATGTCAACAAACATCCAACTGCTGTGACTCCGACTTCTCCGACATGCAAAAAATGGACCCGTCTCCAGTGGCCATGATGGGCTGTGATGGCCCCCAACAAACACACACTGGCTGGCACGGAGTACCCAAAAGGAGTACCCACAAGCCGCGCGCACCCCACGGACGCTCCGTATATACGGGAGGTCCTCAAGCATGTAGTTTTTACACAAAAAATAATATAATTGATAAAACACAACCATGCCAATCAACCGGATCGTGAGCTAAGGTTGGCCTTGACAAGCATGGCCTTCCACGCTATCCTTTCACCGATATTTTGGCCTTGTGATTCGCTTCAAGCCTTTCCCTGGCTTTGGTTCTTTTCTTCTTCTTCGTCTTTTTCTTTTCCTGCCCTCTTTTTTTTTTTTTTTTTTTTTTAGCTCTGTCCCTCGTTTTCGGGTCCCATGGTTGGGCATAATAATCTGTCATGACATGTAGGGTCCGGCAGCTCTCCGCAATTCACGCCTCGAACGCCGAGCTTGATGAGTTCCCTTCCAACAGTTTTGGATTCCCGAGACCTTTGACCCTTTTTCTTTTTATTCTATTCTTTTTCTTCCTTCAGGGTTGTTGCCATGCGCGCAGAGTGGATGCATATATAACCAGGGGATATATCTTGATCTTTTTTCCTTTTTGGTTCCCCTATCACTATTCCCTTCATCTATACAAGCTCCTTCACTCAACTTTCTCTGACAATTTTTACTCCTTATTGCAACGGTTGATATATGACCGGTTGGCATCACGGTTGACGGCTCCGGTTCCTTTTGATACCTTCCCCGATTCCCTCAAGCACGCAGCATTATTGCCCAACCCTTTTAGTTGTATTTCGATTGCCATTATCCCCTCCATCCATAAGTATAAAATTTTGTATTTGTGTTCAGGTTTGGATGCCGTCAACGCTACCGTCTGTTTCGTCCCCTTCATCCTTACCAACAATGCCTCCGATGCATAACGGCGACGACGTCATGGACCGGAGTAGCCTGCAGCCAGTCACTAAGGGGATCCGTACCCTCATTCCTGGCTTCTATGTCCCAACAGTTTGCTTCTTTGATCCTAGCACTGAGGACGTAGACCTCTCTGCGACAGCAAAGCATGCAGTAAGACTGGCTGAGGCTGGCGTGACGGGCATTACCGTCCACGGCTCTAACGGTGAGGCCATACATCTGTCCCCCGAGGAGCGGAAATTGGTCACAGAAAATACCCGCCAGGCTCTTGACAGCGCAGGCTACACTAGCATGCCACTAATGGTTGGCTGCAGTGCCCAGTCGACGCGCGAAACCATCCAGCTCTGTTGCGATGCATATGCAAGCGGGGGGGACTTTGCCCTTGTACTTGCTCCCTCGTATTACCGGGGATTGTTCGCAGCCGATACGATTATGCAATTCTTCACAGATGTAGCTGACGCCTCTCCCGTCCCGATCGTGATATACAACTACCCTGTTGCCGCTTCGGGGCTTGATCTGGACTCGGACACCATCATCGCTCTTAGCAAGCATCCCAATATCGTGGGGTGTAAGTTCACCTGTGGAAACACGGGCAAGCTCAACCGCGTTGCCACAGCCCAGCGAGCAATGCACAAGAGCACTAAAATGGCTAGTATCAACAATGGCAATGCCAGCAGCAACACATTCCTCTGCTTTGGAGGATCCGGCGACTTTACGCTCCAGACCATGATCGGTGGGGGGTCCGGAATCATCGGGGGAATTGCGAACCTGGCACCCAAGACATGCATGCTGCTGCTGAGCCTGTATGCTGATGGCAAGGTGGACGAGGCCCGTGAGGTGCAGGACATCCTGTCCAGAGGCGACTGGGCTGCTATCAAGAGCGGCGTGGTCGGCATCAAGTCAGCAATGCAGTCGCACTTTGGATATGGAGGATATGCGAGACGCCCTCTCCCACGGCCAACAAAAGAGACCAGGGACACGTATAGCGCACAGTTCAAGGAGCTAGTTGACTTTGAGAGGGCGTTGTAGCTGTACATTCCGCCGCTTTCCCTGGTCGATATCAACCTCTACTAACGATCTATGACCTCTATTTTGTCTTTCCCTGGTCTTTCTTTTTTTTTCTGGGCCTTTGTTGTTTCACATCCCTCCCCCCCCTTTTTTTTAAATACCTGTTTCCTCTCTTTGAGTTGGCTTTCTGGTCTTTTTGTCTGGTGTCTGGTCCGATATGCCTGGCTTTGGAGCGATAGCTAGTAACTTGTTAATAGACTTCATCTCTACCTTCCCCCTTTTAAAATTTTTTTCCCGATAACGAGCGAGTGATTCTCCATGTCCACAGCTCGAAACTAAGTCTTTTGGTCCCCCGCGCTATGCTCGGAGGACTCTCACGCTCAGCCGCTCTATGTACTTGTCTGTCGTTAAACGATGTAACAAAAGCCACATAAAACTCAATATCCAGCCTGAGGGAAACAAAGTTTGCTGGGAAACCCGCAGCTCTGGCTCTGTCCCGCGTTGTGTGGGGGTCGACCTTGAAAAGAAAAAAAAAAAATTGCACAGGAGGACGCAGTGGAGGTAAAAAAGGGGCCCAGAAGTTGATGCAGAGCTCAGCTCGGTGCGGCGCCGGGGGTTTGAACGGAGGAGACATGGAGAAGCGAAGGAGGCTGGGCTTTGGCGAACCTGCAGCAGCGGTGGCAGTGGCAGCAACCAGCAGCTTGATTAGGCCGGGACAGACATCAACCAGGGAGAAGCTAGGCGAGAAGCAGACAAAGAGGAGGAGGAGGTGACGGACAAATGCATATCCCGTAAGTTATCCTACCTAATGCATGAGATCTGCTGTATCCGCAGTCACAGCGGCCTTCTACGAGACTCGGTCGCCCAAGCAGGCTGCAGCAGGTTTCTCTTGCGTCAGACCAGATGCAGATGACTATGAGGGGGTGGGAGGGGACCCTTATATCAGGCGCAGGATGTTACTGTCATACTCAAGGGAGAGCCGTGGTGGACCTGGTCGTTAGGCATTAGGTTGAGAGGCAGTGAAGTGAGCTTTGCATGGATATGGACAAGGGGCTATATGCCAGGTGGCCAGCGGGTACCTCTACCTCGAGGAAACATGCATATACATAATAACGACGGGCCCCAGTACTAGGGAACCAGGGTACACGGAGCACGCAGGATGCACTGCACGAACATCTGCAGGCATCGGCAGCAATGCTTGACGGTAGCAATGGGATAACTATAAATACAATACTCTACATGGCCTTGGATTTTGACAGTTATCTATGGCTTCTCCATTCTCACATATAACTAATGATTAACTAACATGCATTTCCTATAGGCCGAGCCCCGAAGACCCTTTTCCCGAGGTCGTTAGTTACCTTATAATGCATGAGAAACCCTTGTCTGGCTCCCATGCACTTAAAAACAGTTATATACTAACTGCCTAATAATGTACGGTGCGTTTTCATACCTTATGGTAGCTGCAACCGTTGACTATCAGCCACATATCACTCTTCAGGAGCAAAAAACCTGTCTGGTTTCCCTGCTGGTGAGGTCGTCGATCATCTAGGTTGATGGCACAGCCAATGATGCCAAGTACTGTGAATATGGACCTGTAAACGCAGCTTGCAACAGCAAAACATCGGCATACCTCTATACCCTGGTCCCCGAAACGGCTGACCGGCCAGCCCTTAAATCGATCCCAGTGCCCTGTCTATCTTTGATACACGGGTTTTCGGCCACATACGCTGATCACAATCAATAAAGCTTTATATTCTTGCATTATGGGGTCAAAGTGTACACTCAGATGCTGAGAGAGGCTGGTGCTCAAGTGTTACCTTGTCTTCTTGGAGGGAGTGGCATATGCATCCCTTAGCCACAGGCAGGCAAACGGGATATCGTTTGCGTGATTGAACCATCTAAAGGCTATAGCTGAAAACAGGTAAGTATCCTGCCGTCCATGGAGGCTTTGTGTCTGCCCAAGCATGACGGAAAAAGAATATACTCGGTTTCGGCCATGGCTCGCAATGCAGTATGCCTGGGTTTGGCGTTAGTTAGGAACCTGTCCTTAAGCACCGGCATACCCTGGGTATTGGGAGATACTCAGGACAAAACATACGATTGGCCTATTTTGAAATAGCCGTGCTACCTCTTGAGCTTGAAGCGAGACATTCAATATATCCGACCTATACTAATTTCAGAAATTTGCGTTACCTTCTAGTGTTCAGCCTTTATAGTAATTAAGCTGATCTGTGGCATTTTGATAACTTTATAAATCATTACGATTTATATATTCCAGGGTTTCCAGGAATTTAAATGGCGCTTTATTGATTAGTTCCCTTCATAAAATCGTGGATTTATCTTCTAGTTTCTATTCTCATTCTACCTTCATGGACATTTAGGGATGGCCATCACAGGAAGGAAAACTAACTAGGAGAATAGACCCTGCCAGAGAGGCCGCTACATAGATAGTTTATGCTATCTTGCATAATGATGTCTGACAGTCAGAGATAATGAACCATGGATCATGTCATGACTGAAATATCAGCTGTGTTTCCCTACAACTGCATGATAGGTAATGTGGTGGTGTCAAGCTTCTTCAGTGGGCACCTCTCCTTTCTTTGACCAAAAACGGACACTCTGGTCTATCAGGCTTCCTCATCAAGCCACCTCTCACCCTCTGCCCCTCTCGGTATATCATTTATCTACGTTATTTAAATTGAGCGACGCCAATGGCTGATACCATCCTGCCCAGACACAGCCCCAGAGCAGATATTGAGTTGGCCAACGACAGCCACCCTGAGAAAAGCTGTGAGACCCCAGCCAAGGATGGTCAAGCACCAGCTGCAGTTGATGATGGCGATGATGGGGATGGTGCAATGGTGCAAGCTGTTGAATACGAAGAAGAGAGAATACTCTGTTCTCGGCTAGATATTCGGCTTCTACCTGTGCTGGCGGTAATGTGTATGTTTGCTGTTCCATCTGCTTCCTCTGCTGACAGGCGCCGACTGATCGAGGCAGATCTTTTCAATGCACTAGACAAAGCAAACATTGGAAATGCGCAAACCAACGGGCTCAGCGAGGGTACATATTTACTATTGGCAGCAGTGGTACTTACTTTATTACTCTCAGAGCTAACTCCGTCGAGATTTTGATAGACCTCGATTTCGCAGATGGAGAATACAACCTATTGCTGTCGATATTCTTCATTCCCTATGTGATATTTGCGCCTTCAATCGCCATGATAGGCAAGAAGTACGGTCCCGCTCGCGTTTTACCAATATGCATGTTCTGTTTTGGATCTCTGACGCTTCTCTCTGCTGCCGTCCACAACTTCGGCGGCTTGTTTGCAATTCGTTGGCTACTGGGGATGGCCGAATCAGCCTTTCTCCCGTTGGTAATTTATTACCTTACCACTTTCTACCGGCGAGGAGAGCTAGCACGGCGTCTTGCCATCTTTTATGCTGCGTCGAATATTGCAAGCGCATTTTCCGGTTTGGTCGCGTTTGCAGCCTTCCAACTCCCCAGCACAAGACTGGAAGGGTGGCGTTACCTTTTTCTTATTGAGGGAGCATGCACAGTATGCTTCTCTATATTTGCATTCTGGTATCTCCCTCACACGCCAGCGCAGGCAAGGTTTCTCACTGCGCAGGAAAAAACACTTGCGTTCCACCGGATACAGGTTGATTCGTCTTCTGTTGTCAATGAAAAATTTTCTTTCAGGGATGCACTCGGAGTATTCAAACAGCCGACTTCATACTGCTTTATCCTGATTGAGATCTGCCTCGGCGTTCCTTTGCAGTCTGTTGCCTTGTTTTTACCCCAGATCATACAGCGGCTAGGTTACGGAACAGTTAAGACGAACCTATATACCGTCGCACCAAATTGTACCGGGGCAGTCATGCTCCTCATCCTGGCGTTTAGCTCAGATGCCGCCAGACTGCGCTCGCCATTCATTGTTTTGGGATTCCTCCTTAGCTTCAGCGGGTTTATGATCTATGCCTCGATCGACGATGTCAAGAACAACATACGACTCGCATACTTCGGCGCATTCATAATGACATGGGGCACATCCGCACCCTCAGTGCTGCTAAGCACATGGTACAACAACAATGTTGCTCACGAGGGACGTCGTATCCTTCTCACATCTGTGGGTGTCCCGGTGGCCAATCTCATGGGGTTAGTGAGCAGCAACATCTTCCGCGGGAAGGACAGCCCAAAATTCGAGCCGGCATTGATCACCACTGCCGTCTTTGGTGCAACCGGTGCGTGCCTTACCCTCCTTCTCGGCCTCTATATGGCATGGGATAATCGGCGACGTAACCGCCGAGCAGGAGTCAAAATGTCGGCGAGGGACGTCCCAACCGAGAGATTGCGAGACGGACCAGCAGTGCAAGAGTTTCGGTGGTTCATGTAGGTTGTAGGTCTTCTCGGTCCCTGGCAACCTCGATCTGGTCTCAGACGTCAAACATCCTCCCTGACTCCTCGTCTTTCTCGTATTTTGACGCCCTGATGTTGAAATTGCCAAAGAAGAAAGTTAACGAAAAAGAAAAGAAAAAACCAATTAAAGTCATTTATGTCACGTGATATCGCGTTCTCTTCGCGTTCCACTTTTTGCTCCCTCCGGCCACGTCAGTTTCTGCAGGGAAAACAGGCAAGGAAGCGAGACGAAAAAGCGATGGGCGGGAAAGGGATGCGACGGAGAAAGGATACGACTTGCCGTGTTCCGGCGATGTGGAGGCTGAGTGAGTCATACCGATCGTTTATTGTGGCAGATATATCAAATGGGATGTCAGATGAGAGAGCCGGCGATGACCCATCGTCCTTCACTTTCAAGATAAAGAGGGTTTCTTCTCCCAGTTCGACAGACAGGAACTATTTAGTCGAGCTGGTATCGAAAGTGGCTCGGAAATAAAGCATTATCATATCACTCCCCGCAGACATGTCCCTGAACGACCATGCACGCTTCCTCCGTAGCCTTCACAGGAAAGGCAGCCCTCTTGTTCTTTGCAATGTATATGACGGCCGAACCGCAGACATTGTCCTTAGCCACAAAGGAAGCAATGGTGAACACTCGGCCAAAGCCTTAGCGACCAGCAGTTTTGCTGTTGCAGCAGTACACGGGAAGCCAGACGAGGAACTTGAACCGGAGATGCTTGCCATGGCGGCCAAAGATATAGTTGGTGTAATCAACCGCCACGTATCAGCTAGAAACAACAGCGACCCCATCCCGCTTTCCATTGACATGCGTGACGGATGGGGAGACCGACTCGAGGAGACCATCACTTCACTGATTGAAGCTGGCGTGGTGGGATGTAACCTGGAAGACGAAGATAATGAAACTGGACAATGCATGCCTTTACCCCAAGCTGTGGACCGTATTAAAAGAGTCATGGCCAAAGCAGCTGAGCTTGGGGTCCCTGATTTCGTTATCAATGCACGAACAGACGTCTTGGGGCACGGTGGGACAATAGAAGAAGCTATTTCAAGGGGTAAGGCCTTCATGGAGGCTGGTGCCTTTTGTATCTTCATTTGGGGCGGCAACCATGGACGTGGAGTGTCTAAGGAGGAAGGGCAGATGTGCGTTAATGCATTTGATGGGCTTTGGAATGCAAGGTTGAAGACAGGGCCGGGCTACTTGACCGTGAAAGAGTTAACTGATATGGGTGTTAGAAGGATCAGCCTGGGAAAGGAATTGGGTGACATTGCAATGGAAGCATATCGTGCCGCCGTGGAGAAGGTTTTGGCTTGAGAAGAACTTGTTCGACTAAAGAATAATGGATAGCTACTGGTTGTGTAGTAGGGCTGTGCGACAGTCTCAAAGTGAAAATAGGGACCTGAAAATAGTCTATGACAGTCACCGGATTTACTATGTTATCTGCAAAACATCCAATGTACTAGTTAGTCCTTCTTAGATGGGACTAAAAAATAGCCATTGAATTCGGCCTGGTACCCACTCCGGCTGTATATCACCAAGGGTTAGCCTGGGGGAATTATTCTAGATGTAAAAAGGAGTAAACAAATAAAATTGTGCGTGTAACTCACCTGGGACGTTGAACGGTGCACTTGTCAAGAAGAAAAACCAACGGCCTGTCTCACGACACTTCTTCGCAAGCCTCTCGAGATCCCACATCTCACCAAGTGGCATCCCCCACAGGGCAAGGATGTATTCATGCAGATAGTACGATACAGGGGTTGGCCACCGCTCAAATGCCGGCGCATCCCCAGCAACAGCCGCAAAGTAACAATCATGCAGCCAGTCGAGCATATCATCTTCTTGTGCCACACCAGCATACTTTTGCCCATCGCCAGGTCCGGCTGAGTGTGGTCGGAGAGCAAGATCCTTGCGCTCTTCGGGGCTGCGTTCGTGGTAGCTTTCAACCCATCCTGATCGGATCAGTAGGATATCGCCGACTTTTATATCTCCGCCTTGGGCTTCTGGTCTGATATCGATGCCCTGGGCTTTCCCACACTTGACCAGCTCTTCGTACGTAATTGCATGTGCGCTATAAGGGTCGTAATCAATCCCATTGGCTTTTGCATAGGATCGATAATCGAGTAGGACTCCTCGACCAGCAATACCGTGCTCGGCCCAGTGATGAATGCTGCATTTATTGCTGGCACTTGGACCTACTATGTCTTCCCCTTTTGCCTATTTATAGAGGTTAGTGGTTACATAGCCAATGTATAGTTCACAGAGAGGACGCTTACGCCGTTATAAAAACTGGCGGAGGCCAGGTGAGCAAACTGTCGACGAAAGAACTCGTTAGATCAGAACTTCATATATAAGGAGACTAATTCTCACGTGTCGAAATCCATCCCACTGCGTTCCACACTGGGTATTAAATTCATATAAATCATCATAGGCGATTCCTTCAACAATCGGCTTGATAGTGTGGACGAACTTCTCTCGGGCAAAGCCTGGAGTCTCTGGGACATTGAAGGGCAAGCTATTCTACAGCATCAGTTCAATTTTTCCCCCGCATACTCTGTGCTGCAGGTACTCACTCTAGAGGAATAAGTTCTCCGGTTTTGATCTCGGTAGAAGCGGTCTTGACGCGAGCCGGAGTGAGCAGATTCAATCTCCCAATCTATGATGACTGTCAGCTTTAGTAGTTAGTTAACTAGTTAATCAACTAGTCAGAGAAAAAGTAACTAATGATGGTACACATGCGTTATCATCTTTACCCCAAACCCAGGCAGCACCCTTGGGAGCTCCGGGTATATTGGGTAGATCTTTGCGGGTAGGGAATTTGGTATTGTCTGGATCCCAAGGCAATTCGTTTGGAGATTTCCAGCCTGATGCCATAATGCCGGCTACGTGGGATACTCTTTCACGGACGGACATGTAGAGGCAACCGGGTTTCTTTTACTTTGTTTCATTTAAAACTCAGCGACTGCGGAATAGAAAGGTGGCCAAAAAGTGGGTGCCAGATGCTTGATATAAAGAGCTGCTGCTCGGCCCTCGGCTGTCTCCGTGGTGAATACCCGAATACAACGGCATAGCGGTTCTCAGGTAATAACAATAACAATAACAATAATACGCATCATTAATAGACAGGCCAGGTGGAGTCCATTTGCCACTTTTTGTGCGTTAGTTAGAAGGTGAGCAAGACACGCTGGAACGGAGTAGTTATGCGCTATATCAGAACGAAAAAGACGCGCATATCACCGCTGTATCTTCGGAAATCGCTGGCTGGCTGATTCAATGCACCAACTGCCAACTTACCTGACAGGTCCCCTGCCTTGTGTAATGCCAGGGTGGTAAGATGAAGATCCACAGGTTCACAGTTGGTGATCCAACCTCCAAGTCTAGTCATGGGATTTGCGCAGTTTTCATGGTCTGCATAGGAATTTCGCGACTCGTTCGCTCTGCGGCTAGTTACGTGCTATAGATCCATGGCTCATGCATGCATAAAGGTAAGCGTCGGGTGGAGAGTCTCCTTTGCATCGAAGACACAATAACTAGTTATCTAATAATATGAGAATGTCTGTCTAGTCTAATTTCCTTTTTAAGGCGTTGACAAAATTGCCTGATGTCGTTTCTCATGTAATTTGCAGGTTCGTTTAATCCTTGCAATAATAGATACTTTCATTATTGGTTCAATTTGACATGGCTCATGCCCTTGGTGTTTTAACTAGGCGTAGCTATGGCTTATTCTATTTTAAACGTCAGTGTACAGTTTAAAGGAAGAGCTGAAGTACACTGGCATTTTAGTGCTATTATGAAGTGAAGATTCTTGTTGAATTTTGACCAGAGAAATGCTATAACCGGCTAAATGGTTATTTCTCACAAATAGTAATAGTACCAAATGATATCACACCCCGTTATCGATGCAAGCAGGGTATTCCTACCAATTCTTACGTGTAGAACATGTTAGGATTCATGGAACTACCCTTCAAAGTATTGACTGACTGCGACTCTGCCTTCTTCGTCCCTTTCTATAGCTCCAAAAGCGTTCATGGCGTGGTCTAAAACCTCAGCTTTGATTTGGTCAATTCTGGCCCTGTTTGGCTGACGTCCTAGGAGTCCCCGGTCTGCCATTTCATACAGTGCGTCAAGTGACGCCGAAGTACGTTGTCGAAGGATCAGGGAGCGAGCTGCTTGACCCACATGGCTATGGGCGCTAATAGATAGCTAGCAAGATTAAGGTCGCTAGACAAATAGAAGTTGAGAATATATACGATCGATAGGTGAATTAAAAGGGAGCTGTTTGCAAATAATACAAGTACCGAGAGATTCCAGTTGGTATACAAATCTGACTACCCCGCATTGAGCATGGTGCTTGTTTTTAGATCAGTAAGGCTAGTAAGCGTCCATTAGAATGATGCATGATAGAGAACTTCAAGTATGTGAGCTAAATGAAACTCAGATCCCTCCAACAACACAGAATCATTAGCTAGGGGGGTAAGACTGATTGTAGACATGCATCCCGGAAACTCAGTCCGGGCGGTAAGCGAAGTCTCAGGTCAAGTAGTATTAACTTGGTTGTAAGTCAACTGGTATCACGAGCAGTTTAGATGCAAGGATCTTAAACTGGGCGATACGAGAAGATACATTTAAGCCAAGATTAACTCCCAAAAAATGCCTTGTTAAGAAGCCGATGTCTTGGAACTATTATTTGGGCCCATGTAAATGTATACAGATGGTTCATTTGGGATTCTATGGCTAGACAATATGCGAATTCTATATATAGAATGAATGGGGCTATATACAGGGGCTGGTCAAATGCAGTGGCTCTGTGAAGTTACTTACTAGCATGCTAGTTATATTTAGACCGGGAAGTCTAAATTGCTGTGGACATAATATCCTGTCTTAATGCACCCCAGACCTTGACGGCGGTTAGGAAAAGAGTTTGGCATAGACGGAACCTGGATCGAACAAGCTTTCGGGTAAGTTCCATATAACTAGTTCATGCGGCCCGTAACCGCCGAGCCTCCCGCCCACCAGGGTATGCTGGAAGCTACCTAAACTTCGAACCATCATCATCTAGAGCAAGATCAAGTTATTATTGACGAAATTGGCCTATTTACAGTTGTCCAGCATTTATAAGCAATGTTAAGAGCCTAGTCAAAACAGGGCCGAAAAATACCATCATGACAACGACAAAATATGGGAAGAAATTCGGCACACGTTTCTCAGTGGTCATTTTCAGATTATTAAACAGCCATAACTAGAGCCGCCGTACCTTCAGGACCCACGAAATTATCAAATGGCGGAGTATATTCCCTTTTTAACCTCCCCTCAAATTAGAAAGCGCACCCCGGTTGACTTATCTTTTGATAGTGGTGGATTCGACAAACACCATCTAGGTGGGTTTTTATACCCACCCCTGGCCTGCACCAAAACCTGGTTAGAACCATTATGTCACCATTATTCTTTATTCCAGACCAGCATTCTTATACCCAAATGGCAACTTGCCTACTAACTTATGTCAACAGCATCGTGGGCATTAGGCAAGGTAGGGATAACATGTCTTCGAACTGCTCGCAGCAGCACCATACCTAATTTTGCCCGAATAAAGCTCTACATATTTACCGACAGATTGATCGAGTATTGGGACCCAATTCTAAAGGAACCATATGTCAAAAATCTCTCTCAAGGACTTTGTCTTGAAAAGTCTGACAGAAATATCAAAAATGAAGCCAATGCACTGCTCGCCGTTAAGAAAATTACAACAATCAATGCACCGAGGCTTATTGATTTTGTTACGATCGACGCTACCCGGGCGGCCCAATTAGTGACCATAGATTTTCAGGAGAATCCTGAGGCCCTTTTAATCTCTGAATTTATAGACTGCCTTACCAGGGGTGTTACAAAGTCTCGAAATGAGCCTCCGCTCTCTCTTCTATATGAACGGAAATATGATCTTTGCTTCACCCCTTTAGATTTGCACAGGTCTAACTTGTTTGTAACTCGTGGCAGGCTTTCTGGTATTATTGGTTGGAAAAATGCTGGGTTCAAGCCCGAATATTGGGAATTTACTCGATCTTTATGGCCGTATGGCGGAGAGAGAAAATTATGCTATATCCATACCTATGCATTTGATGGTAAATATGATGATGAATTAGAGGCCGAAGTCTCTATCCTGTATAATTCACCATTTGTGTTCTAAGTATTCTAAGTTAGCCAGTTTAGTTGTGCGTGGTTATTTACCTTTTTGATACTTCAATGGTTTGTGTTTCTTGCACCTGGTTGGAGGATCAGATGGTATAGTTATAACAAGCAAGACATGGGATAATGTGTGGAGAAAGCATCAAAGGACCACTGGAGGAACACCACATCATTAACCAGTAGTAATTTATGGAAAGATAAATAGAAAAATATTCTCATTATTAACATTATCGGTTGAACTTGGCTTGGTGTTCCACATGCACTTCCGCTGGTTTGGAGAGGTCCAAGGGGGTAACCCCATCCTCCATATGAGGGGCCATTTTACCAGAAAAAACACCTGCTTCGTCTTTCCTAGCGTCATCCATAGACATTGGGGGCCCTGTAAATGCCTTACGTGCCCTAACAAAGTACCATACCACGCTGATAGTGGCAAACCCGGCGAATACAACGCTCGCATAGTTCATACTAGATGGTGTCACGGGCAAGGACACCGGGAGACAGAAAAGGAAAGTAGAGAAACATATCCAACATATTGTGGTCATGTTGATCAAGAATCCAAATTTCCCCAGTGAAAAAGGGGCATTCTCAAACATTTTTCGACGGCGAACCAGGGAAATCAAAATTGGTAAGCCATACGAAGTTGATAAGCATATCGTAGCCACACCGGTGAAGGAATTGAAGGCTGCTGCAGAGCCAAAGTAGATCAACCCAAGGAGACAGTCCACTAGAGTTGAGAGAATAATACCCCATAACGGAACACCAAAACGGCTACTTACCTGCTTCCAGACCCGAGACCCCGGGATGGCACCATCACGGGCAAAGGCATATGTGCAACGGCTTGCTGCCGTAAGTGCGCCAATGCCAGCAAATATCTGGATTCCCATGATTAAAAAGAGCATGCCAAAACCGCCTGCTGCGGAGCCAGTAACTGTCTTGAATAGAAGGCCGATGGGTTGGCCATTGGCAACTGATAGGAGCATTTTAACTTCCGGGAGAACGAAGAGCAGGGTAATGAGGTACACCAGGCCAGTTATCCCAGCTGCAACGACGGATAGGACAATCGCTTTTGGGACTTCTCGGTGTGGATTCTGTGTTTCCTCGCACATGGCTGCAACCATCCCGTAGCCCGTCAGCGTGTAAGCTGGTTGAAGCAAACCGACAAAAAACGCCCATCCCGTCGGCCTAGTTTTGATCAAATGGAGCGTTAGATATAATGAGCCACAATTAAATGTCTAAAAGAAGGAAAGAGAGGTGCATGAATAGTTATTTACCATCCACTAGCAGTTGCATCGTAGTGCGTAAAAACGAATTTTCCACTCCTCCGATGATCAGCCAAGGAGAGCAAAGTGACCATGATTATCAGCACACTGGATGCAGTCCAAAAAATGCATATTTTATTGATGAGATCGAGATACCGCGATCCAAATATGTTTACCAGGGCGCACACAAGCATAACAGCCCAGAACATCAAGATCGTCTGCCATTGATTCGGCACGAAGTCTTCCTTCCAGAGTGAAATCGCACTCAGAATCAACTGGCCGCCAGAGAAGTTGATGCTCAAAGTCACTGTCCAATTTCCCACGAGCGTCAACCAGCCATCAATGAAGGACATCAGTGGCGCCCACTCGCGGGTGGACAGCATCGCACTCCAGTAGTACACACCCCCAGCAGTTGGGTATACAGAGCAGATCTCAGCGAGTGAGGCTGCAATGGCGGTCGAGATTAGGGTGACGATTACCCAGCCCCAAATTATAGTAACCGACTGCCCGTCAGTCAGAGTAATATATAGTGTCGTGCTTAGCCCAAAGGGCGCTGCCATGATAGCGAAAGACCTGCATCCGTCGAACGAACCGGTTAGTTAGCTGGGAGAACTCGAATAAGAAACGCATAGAAAGCGACAGCGAGGGAGGACGAGAGCACCTACAGTCCGAGAACGCTCATCATCCCCAGATTCCGAGGAAGCTCGCTCTTATATCCCATCTTCGCTAAAGCAGCGTTCGCATTTGCGTCCTCAGACGCCCTCCGTATCCTCGCTCCATCCTGCGGCGGTGCTTTCGTCATCTTCCGGGGAGGGCCGAACGGTCAAGCAGGCTGATTAGTTGGGTGTCCCATGAAGTGAGCAGGATATGGGAGCAGTGCGCCAGAAGATGCGAGGTAGCTTAGAGGACGAGAGAGGAGAGACGCTCTTCTGTTCCTCTTCCAAGGTAGGTCGCCGTCTTGCGGCCGGCTCGGTAAAAGTCCCGGGTAGATTTTCTTCGCTTTGACTTGTCGCCTCCAAGGATGGGCCTTGTAACTAACTAGATTAACTTCCGTGATATCTTCAACTGCGATCTTACGTACGACCCTACGGTCTGGCCAGCAGAGGAACGCAAGGCGATCCAGGTCTTATTATGATGAAGAGATATTCTTTCCTGCTGTTACTAACTAATAATGCGCTTAGATTAAACCCCCAGTGTCTCCAAAGCGGTCAGACGATAAATACGAGCACTCGGATGGTGAGTCAACAACAGAGTTGCCGAGAGAGTGGCGCATCGTATGGAGAGTTATTGGGGGCTTCATCACTCTTGATAAGCACGAAAGCGCAGATAAACCAGATATCCGGCCATAGACAACTAATAACAGGGCGCAACTCGGGGTGGATAGGTTTCCTGACTCCATCTGGTGGGCTGACATCAACGCTTTCGGCATTGGTTTGAAGACTTGCTGGAATCTTTCTGGCCTGCTGTCTGGCTCTCTGCATACTGAAGTTGGCGTCCTAATGCCAAATATTCTTAGCTATAGAGCCCACACCTAGAATGATGGAGGAGACAGCTTACCGAGCCTTTGTCTCCGCATTTTATAGTACATGGAAGAGACGTCCAACCATATTGTGGCGAGTGAAGATATAAGCCCGACTAGACACATGGCGGTGGTGACAATAATCAAAATCGAGTGGCATCCTTGATAAATTTTGACTAGATACCCTAGGAGGATGCAAAACCACGTCAGAGAAATAAATATGGAACAGAATAGAATCTGTTTATCTTTGGTCGAAGCGTTCATAGTGGTTGGCGCAACTTCAGGCAAAGGATCAGATACCAGTGCAATTAAATGGCGGGAATATGACAGAAATCGACGCGTATTATCCGTTTAGAGATAGTGTTAACCGAGGACCTCTGTGATCTAGAGCAGAAAAAGCTACCAAAAAACTGTCTATTGAACGGTTGATGATGCAGAAGGGATATATACATACTCTGCGCCCGTGTACCTAATAAAGAAGAGCAATGAGGGAAGATTTCCTGCAGGTTTTAGTATAGATTAGTTGAAGGGAGTATAATTTGTTTCAACTAACTAGCTAGCAAACAAACAGAACTCCCGTTAGCGGGATCCTGCAGATTCTAGGAACTAGCAATGAGACTGCCGGTGCCCAGCCCAGGTCTTTGTATATTGCAACCTTGTTTGGAAATTCTGCCATTTGATTTATGTCCTTTGAGTCACTAAACATACTAGAGATTATTCTTGGATCGAATATTGATTACCTTATACGCTCAAACACTTTACCACTAGGTATCGCCATTATTGTTTAGTGGTCCCAAGGATTAAATTATCTAGCAGATAGGCCATGTTGCTTCTTGTTTAAGGTATAATGCTAGATAAACCCGTGAGTAATTGTTAGATACACACTTATTTATTAAAATGAAATCAACTACTGTCAGGAACAGCAGTATAAAAAGACTAGGCGGGATTCTTAGATGGATATGAGTACCGTACCTAGTAAGAAAATATATCAACATCGCTTGATATGTATAGTCAGCTATAGGGCAGTCGTTTTAGGGGCTCTACTTATTTTAGTCAAAGCACGTCGAATGATAGAGATCTTACATAGTATAGTTTGCTGGTGGTACTTGTTACTCCAATGCAACTACACAAGTAGTAGTGAACTATATAGTAATAGCCTGTAGAAAAACGAGGGGAAAGACAGGGAGTGTCAATTATCAATTATGGAATACCCTCTTCCGTCTGTATTCTATATAAGCTAGAAAAACCAGCTGTAAACTGACCTGGATATAAAAACAAGTTATAAATAGATGCAACTAGTTAGTTAACGAACTACTTGAATTTGCAGATAAATTAAACTTCTTGGCCCCACAACCCTATTTATTTTATGGTGGGTACTTTTCCATAAAGAGACTAGTGCAACAACACTCCAACCAGCAAAATTCAACACTCAAATCTGATTCTCCAGAACTACTTGATACCCATGTTTGTGATTCTACCTGCCATGTTTCGAACAAAGACAACATTCAGACTGCCTGGCCGTCAAGAAGCCAGCTTTCTTCTCTCAACGTCTGTTGATATCCTCTATCGCTAGCTTCAATTCCTGGACGATACCTCGAAATTTAAGCACAGGGTTTTCATTCGCCCACTTGTCCACCTTTGCCAATATATTTGCTTTGTTGTATTTGAAGTGCGCCCGAATCACCTTTTGCCAGATTCCATATCTATGTCTGGGCTGCGTCAACCAGTTTAACATCCCAGCAGTGACTATCTGGGGTTGAATCTTCTCTACGTATCGCCGGGCGCGTATGTCAGCCATTGTGCCTACTGCACTAGTGTAGGCCGGCTCATTACGCCAGGGGTCTTCCGTGAAGATCATTGCTTGGATGCTAATCAGCACGGACAAGATTGTTGACTTGCCCGGTTGCCATTGCGCCGCAGCATCGCCATCACGCCATGTCCCGAGAAGCGAGAGGCACACTGCTCAATGTTAGCCCTATACCCCCTACCTAGTTTACTGATTCTCCACAACAGTATATTCTGTTAACACTTTCCAACTCACCTTTACCATCTGGGTGAAGATTTGGGTTAATTGTTTTACCAACAGCTGTTCTACAATGCACTTGAGGAGGCTGATTCGGGTATGCTGGAGGACAAATCAAATCAAAGCTAGCCAAGGTTAGCTACCCTTTCAAAGCCATAAGTGGGTGACATGCCCAGAACTTACTCAAAGAGCGCATACCCATATGGACTATCGGGTGGCCCCATTATAAGACATTTCATAAAATCAGGCCGACTTTCACTAACTTTGACGAAGATCCCAATTGGCAGAGATGTTGACATGTTGGCTACCTCAGTCACCATTCGCTTGATTCTCCCTGGACTTGAATACGTCATAGTTATAGCCTTGCTATAGTATGCATGGGTCCGGTCAAAGACTCCCTCATCGCGGGAAACCCCGTGCTCCTGGTGAAAAGCTTCCCATTTTTCCTGTGGGCTTGCTCTTGTACGCATCCCAATGCCCTCCTGACCTGCTGATATGACTGAGTAAAGAGAAAGAATACTCTCACAGCAGAGAAGTAGATCTTCTCCACTCCTTGTGTTAAGATCCTGACTTTCAACAGACTCAAGGACAATCTTGCTCTGACGTGCTAGCTGCTTCAATCTCTCGCCAACCGAAGCTATCCTTTCTCCTAGTATGAGTGGAGGGCTATCATACTGCTGTGGCTTCGATGAAGAAAGAATTTCAAGGCCGGGAGTTTGTTGTTTATGATATCTGGCACATTTGGCAAGGTCTATTAGCTCAGGGTGTGAACTCAGCTTCGAAACAAGTCCAAACGCCGCTTTATACACATCGCTGCGCTTCGTTACATCATCCAGAGAATCATTTCTGAGTAAGTCCGCAACCTTGTCTAAAAGCAATCCAAGCTGCAACATTGCATGTAGCTCAGAAGGAAGATTCTTGCTCATGGGTCCAGGGATCATCTGACCAACAAAGTCGAACACCTTAGCTACAAACTCATCTTCTTTCTCGTCACTGCCGTGGAACTGCAAAGGCCTGTTTGAATATACCGGCTGAAACCATGACCCTTCGTGAAAGAAATCTGTAAACGGGCTATAGCGGCCCATACTGTCATCCGCATACCCAATGCCTCTGGCATCCTGTGTTTTTCGTTGGCTCGGGCTGTGACTATTTCTGGCCGGGGGCTGTTTATTTTGTGTTACTGACGAAGGTGCCTGCCAGCGTATCTCAACCCGGTCATATCTTGCCAGCAGAAGCCATATCCCAAACACCCGCCCATCATCACAGCACCAGTCCATGTAATACCCTTCGATCTCATGGGGATTCCTGGAGTTGCGAACTTTGTTACCGCAACCAAGGCAAGTCAGGGCTCCGCAGCTGGAGCAGGTTGCAGCACAAAGATAACAACCTTTTGCAGGATTGCCTTTGGCTCCTTCAGACCAACGACGTATCCAGTTCCGGACAGAAAAGTTTTCTGTAATATTTGATGCACAGGAGTAGCATTTCATGGCCAAGCGTGCAGCAAGAAATGACTGTACAGCGTTAATACTTTGTTTGATATCCTCAGGATGCTCTTCCGGCGCCGGAAGACCTAACTCTGTACTTCCACCTTCCGTCGCCCGGTGACGTTGATTTTCATGCGGACTATCCCGGCCTTCATCATCAGGAGGACCGGTGTTGTTATTATTACCTCTTCGGTGTCGAAAGATTGTGCTTCTGAAAAACGACATTTTCAAATAGGCACGTATCAATCCATGGAGACTGTTTCGCCCCTTTTCTTAGCACTGAATAAGGAAGATGTGGTAGATTGAGAATATTTTGGAAAAGATAGAGGAGGATGGAGGTGAGCGCAAGAATGATAT